TTTCCACTCCAATTGTGACACCTCAAAAACGTAATTTGGAATTCTTTAACATCATCTTCTGGTGATGAAGATATAAAAAGGCGCCATGTAAGACTTAGTGTTTCATATGCTTGAAATATATATAGAAGCCCTCGTAATTTTATTTTATGACATTTGTAAAAAATATACCTCAATTTAGCAATCGGAAAAAATATATATTAAAAAATACATTTTCACACAATTCAAAAGACTTAAGACAGCAACATCTACATATGGCAACAACTTTATTTGATTTGGTGAACCAGTTTTTCATTTTCATATCAGATTAACTAGTCACCAAATGCTAGCTGACATTCCAATCTTAAATCAATATCATGAAAAAAATCCAATTCAATTTAACTCTACCCACCATCATTAATTTTAATTTGATAAACCGAAAATTTTCGCACTTGTTTAACTGGTGGTGGTGATTTTATATCTAAGCAACACAATCAATATGGCGACGATGGAATACCACAAAACACACATTTAAATATCAATAAAAAAATAAGATACGAATCTACGCCAGCCAGTATTTGTCATGTCATAGTTAATTTAGGAAAAGAAAAATATAAAAACTCTCGTTCCTTAGGCTACCGTAAATTGGCCATCATCTAGACATACATAGACACATTTGCATAGATAACAATGAAAAATTGCTTTTTAAATTTTTCGGCTAGAGAACTCCACACGAGTAGCTTCCTTTGGTGTTGTGATTTTTTTTGTAGTTAATCTTTGATATGCAGATGTGATATTGAAACATTAAAAGCACACATTAATAAAGATAATCGATGAATTTTGGTTTCCCGACGAACACACAACCACACTATTGGGGAAAGACAAATTACATGGAATATTTCAAATTAAAAAGACTAGTGGCCAATTTGGTTAGGAAATTTATTCATTGGATAAATGGCGTAGAAAAATTGACAGTTAATAATGATGGCAATTAGTTAAGGTGAAGATGAAATATAGGAAAAAAATATTGTTGAATAGTAGCCCACAATCTTCTCTAGGATTTTAATATTTTATTTTAAAGTGAGCAATCGACTGAGAACTCAAACATACAGACTGAGATACCAAAATTTCGATTTAGATGATTGTAATGATTGTATTTTATACTAGATACAACAATGTTGTAAAGGCCCAGTCATATTGGCTAAATCGATCGAGATATGCAAGCTCTTTCACTTATCGATTTTTCAAATAGTCCACCAAGAGTTGGGCATTATAAGGACATATCAAATCTGTCGGAAAAATGTCATGTTAAATTTCTACCTTTAAATGGGGCCTTGAACATATCGAATAAGACCCGTAACCTATATAAACAATTTCTACAGATCAAAGACATATTTTACGAGTGCTAGAAACAGTATACGACAGCTACCCTGGCCATGACATTAAAATTATGCTAAGGTATTTGAATGCATAATATCACAAGGGAAAATATTTTTGGCCCCACTGTGGGAAAATTACACTTCATGCAGCAAAAAAATATAGTACTGTAGCAACACTTACAATTATTTGTGTGCCGGAAAGTCAATAGTGCAGCTATCACTCACTTACCTGCCTCAATGTGCACGTAAGTGAAATCACTGCATTAAAATGGAACAATTTTAAATTTTCTCGAATACGCGACCATCGCTAAGTATCTAATAATGAAAAAGGAGGTCTTTTAAATTTGATATTTAAAGCAATGGGAGAAAAAAATACAAATATTTTGAGCTGTTATCTTAAAAGTGTAGGTTTGAATTGTGAACTTAAACGGAATATTTGAGAGACAATCTGAGAAAAAGTACCAAAAAAGTGTATTTTGGGCAGCTAAATCCAAATTGTAGCTATGTAAAAGGCAGCTAAATCAAAACTACAGCACCAGATAAAAGAATCTCGATATGTTGTGATCCGAGGAGCGAATATCGAATCGGTCCATTATTTTGTAGCAGACAAGGTTTGCACTCGTCTTAATGTAGCAGCAAAGGTACGATCTAATGTAACACGGGAGCTCGACGTTGCAAATCTGCAAACACAACTAACCCACTTGCTTGACGAAAGCAAGTCTTGTCCCAATAATAATATAAAAGCGCAATGGCAAAGAATTGCCACTCCCTTGGATACTAAAGACCACAATCAAAAAAGCCATGGTACGATCAGGAGTGTCGTAATGCCATTGATGTGAAAAACGCAGCATATAGGGCAACCCTGCAGACAGTAGCAACACCTAATGCCAGCAGAGAGGAGAAACGTTTTTTTTTTAAGAACAAGAAAAACGTGAGCATGAAATCGAGATTCACATGAGTCAGAATGAAGACCGGAAATTTTACAAAAACACCAAACCGAAGACTTTGGTGCAGGCACATCCTCTTGTAGAAATCCAGATGGAAACCTAGTGACAGATACAGACATCGTGTTAAGGATCTGGAAGGAGTATTTTACAAAGCTTCTGGTATCAAATAGTGGCGGCGAAGAAGATACACCAGAACCAATAAGAGTTGACGGTATAGAGTGTATATCACCTAGTCAAGATGAGGTCAGAATAGCAATCAATCGGCTGAAGAATAATAAAGCAGCAGGTGCCGATAGGTTACCAGCCGAACTATTCAAGACTGGTGGTCACATGCTGGTCAGGAGAATGCACCAGCAGATTAATACAATTTGGCTAGATGAATGCAATTTAGGAACAAGGCCCGATCAAACTCACACTCTTCAAAACGCTACCCGTGCTGGTGTATGGATCTGAAGCATGGGTATTTGCGCAAGCAAATGATCCACCTCTTGGATTGTTTGGGGGACAATTGACATATCGAAACATGGCTTTTCAAATGAGAAAAACTGAGCACAAGTTCGCCTTATGGAACAAATGTTCTGTCTCGAGCCAGTTAAAGGAATTCGTTGAAAAGTCTCCTCACACCGTGCACAATTTCGTGATGTTCGGATCAGAACCGAACCAATATTCACAAAGATTCACCAATACCAGCTGCCTTTCTTTTCCAATTATATGGACGTAGGGACATGTGTAGACTGTCTAGTCGAAATATCTTGATGCTACATAAAGTTATGATGAGAAGATAGTTTGTTCTCCGATAAAACAAAATACTAAAACTATGAGAATCTCAAAAAAAATTAATGTATATGTTATTCATTGTAAAAATTCTTATGATCGTGAATAAGCCGTTATTGTTTTCCAAAATATGTAAATATTTCAATAATATAAAAACTATTTGCATACTTCGCTCTACTTAGCACTATTTGGTCTAATTTTTCTTCATTATCTCCCTTTTGACAAATCTGTTCCAAACAAGCCACCACCATCCACTGTTCGACTGTGTTCTGTTTTGGTATCGCCCTCTCATGGTGGTTGTTAGCTTTTTACCTGTTTGTTTGTCTACTCTAATTCCTAGCAATCTCTCCACTCACTTGATTGTGGCTATTTTATATTCCATTGCTTCTTAATTTCAGGCACTGTTGGTGTTATAAAATTCGCATATGTATTTTCCAAATTATTTCGATATAAATACCAAATACAAATACAACTGTTGATATGAACAACAAGCTCATTTGAGGATTTTAATACTATTTGATAGTGGAGAGCATAGAATGTTGGCACGGATGAACTTTTTACTTCTCAATTTTTGTAAAAACTCCAACCTCAACCAAAAATTTAACGACTCTGATATATGTACATAACTATCCGTGAATTGATTGGATCAATGGATTTTGGTATAGACAACTGAAGATCTAGGAGGGAGGCTGTGATCTAGAAAAATATACTTCAGGACGGAATTTGGAGATGTTAAAAAAATGTGCCTTTCATCTTATTGTGAGCGATGCTACTGTGTTCTTATGTTGTAAAGTTTGATTAGACTGATCATACGAAGCTGATTAAAATGAGGTATGAAGTTTGTTCTTTTTTCCTATCAACCATTGTGCTTAGTTTTTATTAAATTACCTCTTTTTCCTCTACTAAGAACACTTACTTTGTCTTATCTTCACAATCTTAATGTACTCTGTAAGTATATACATTTATAAAACGTCGTAAAGACTTATCCTTTTAGCACATATTAATTAAAATTGTTTATTCAAGCGAAACTAAACCTAATGTATTCTAGACAAAAGTAAAGAACTAGACGAGGTTGCAGGTCTCCCTTTTGCCCTCTCTGTGTCTGGAATATATTGAATCCCTCAGCCTGTAGTTAGCGCAGCAAAAACGAAATAAAAAGAAGTTCTTTAAATTTTCTAAATTAACAAAGCATGTTAAACCAGGATTCTACTTTTTTAAATCATTACTTTTTCGTTGTTGGTGTGGTGGCTGCCGTGTGCGGTTGGCCCTGGTCCGTTGTAAAGAAAATCTTAATGTTCAGATGATGTTAACCCGACTTATGATTAATGTTCAGCCAATGGATGGTTTGTAATGTTACTGGGCTGGTTTTTTGTTGTTGTTGTTCTGACGTTGGCTTTATAGCTGTTCAATGAGATGTTGTTGGCAGCAGGAAGTTGTTGTTGTCGCCGTGGTGTTTTGCCATGGTGTTGGAGTTTTTGTATGTTGTTATTCGTGGCGTTGTTGTTGTAAATGGCAACAAGCACTTGTTCGTCTACAACAGTTTTCATTATGATGGGGTTTTTTTCTTCTTTGTCTGTTCGCGTTAAAGTGCCTGCGCTTCATAATTTTTTCAGATTTTTTTTTTGCTTCATGTGGACCAAAAGTTTATTATACACTTGTTGCAGATTATGCTTTATAATGTTACTTGTTGTAAACGATGTCCAGCATCAAACAGCAACAAGAGGAGAAAGAACAGACGTTTTACCTTCATGTTCTCGAGGTTCAAAGGAATTTTATGTTTTTTTTTGCAAAGCGTTTTTCTTTTGCATTGTTTTGTTAAGCGCTTAGCGTTTATATATTTTTGTTGTTGGGTTTTTGGCATTTGTATGCATTTAAAAGCTTATGTAGAAGTGGTAGATTGTAGGCCTTTCGCTTAGCTACTTACCTGTCCAACCAGAAGGGCATTCACATGTAAAATCGCCATCACCATCTAGACATATACCACCATTGCGGCAGGGATTTGGTGAGCATTCATTAAGATCTACAAGTAGAAGAAGAAGAAGTGGTAGTAGAAAAAATAAGAAGAAGCTGTTGTATAAGAAATGTGAAGTAGTTGTAGTAGTTTGATGTGCTTGGAAGTATAAAAATAAATGAATTTGTGGACTAAGCTAAATGTAATATGAGTTTTAGTTCCTTTTGTTGCATTGAGATTTAAAGATAGTACATAATTAGTATTGGTGCAAAAATCTACACATACATATTGTCAGTTCGCAATACCGTGAGTTAGTAATAGTTTTGTTTGTGTGTTTGGATATATGTATGAGTGGTCATGGGGAGTTTATTAAAGCCTAATGTTGCAGTAAGCCTTTAAAAGAGCTACCACGGATTTCCAAACAAAAATCCATTTCGCATTATCTTAAGGTACAATATTTTAATCTGAAAATTACTTTTACTGTTATACCACATTATTTTTTATGTTTATTCAATATGATATCTTGAAGCCAATTTTTTTAAATCGGTTGCTGCTGATGCTCTATACGTCTCGATAGAGTGTCTCTAAATTCTCTGCTCTGTAAAGTATACACCGATCTAGGTTTTCGAAAAAAATATGATTGTCAAATTTTGAACCAAATCGAATACACCATTGCCATCATCAAAAAGTTCACCCTTTAAGGCTGCCATAAGAAGTAAACTGATAGTCTGTATCTTCATTTATAATCTAGGTTTATAGAAAAAAACAGTGAGGAATGTATTAAAGTCGGACGGGGCAGACTATATTATATCCTTCACTACTTTGGGTATATTCAACAGATGAATCTTAACAGACGTCGCATTTTTGAAGGACCATTAACATGAAATTGAATCCATAAACATGTCATTCTGCAACCTATACTTCATTTTGTCAGATATAGAGTTGTTTCTTACAATGGGACAAAATTGTGTAAATCAATTTAAAACAAATATCAATCGGACACCCGTTGATTATTTGGAGTCCAATTAACATCAAGTCGGTCGAAAATATGTACGGGCTAAAAAACGCAAAATATATAAAATATATAACATATATGGGAGCTGTATCCCAATCTCAACTGATTTCAACAAAAAAAAAAAACACGTTATGTTATAGTAACTTCAGTATGTTGTGCAAAATTTTGTGCCAATCGGACCCACCTGGGGAGTTTGGTGCACCATTTATATCTAACTTCAATACGTTGTGCAAAATTTAGTGTCAATCGCCCTAGCTTTGAGAGTTTGGTGCTCCATTCGGAGCACTATTAACTAAAAATCGGACAATAATATATATGGGAGCTATATCTAAATCGGAACCAATATACGCGAAACTTGACATACATCATTCTAGACTTAATTAAGTACACTGTGCCAAATTTCGTGCAAATCGACAGATATGAAGGGACTTTGGTGCATCATTTCTATTAAATCGGACGAAAAAATATATAGGAAACTTAAAACACATTAATCTAGTACGCTGTGCCAAATTTCGTGCAAATCAAAAGATATGCAGGCACTTTGGTACACCATTTCAATTAAATCGGACGATAATATATATGCGAGCTTTATCTAAATCTGAACCGTTTTTTCGGATTTCAATAGGGTTCGTCCTTAGGTCGGATAAGTGACCTATACCAGATTTCATTCAATTCGGATCATAAATGCGATATGTATTTTGTTTACAATTTAACATGGACGGACTGACGGGCGGACGAATAGACGGACATGTACAAATCAACTTAGAAAGTGATTCTATGCACATTCTCAAAAGGAACCATGTGTCTATCTCGTTTCCTTTTGTCTGTCACAAACATATGCACAAAGACATAATACCCTGTTCCACCGTGTGGTGAAGGGTATAAAAAGGGGGTAGTCCCCTTACCCCCTAAGAGGGGGTGAATATAAATAATTATAATTGGGAGGGAGATTTGTTACCTAATACGACTACAAAATAACAAATTACGAACTCGGTTGAAAAAATTGGGGGGTACCGTTATATGGGGGTTACCTGAAAATGTAGACCGATATTTATAATTTTTAGTGGAGAAATTTGGTACCCGGTTGAAAAACGCGCTCCAGAACACTAAAATACTGAAAATCTGGGGTTATCCTTATATGGTAGCTATGCCTAAATGTGGACCGATTTAACCTATCATTGAACTTGATCTGCCTGCAGACAAAAGGCAAACCTATGCAAAATTTTTGGCGATCTATCTCAATTAGTTTAGAGGCTGAAGTGATTTCAAAAGAGAGATGACATGTCATCGAATTTCACGCTAATGGAAAGGAAGTAAACGATTTATTCCAAACATTACAGTTACAAAATTTGTTCCTGATTTAAATCAAGAAGATAGGTAATGTCTATCAACCGGTGGTCAGATGCTGGTCAGGAGCAAGCACTAACTGATTAATATCTAGCAAAATGTGGTGTCTTGGCCAAAGGGGGGTAAATATAATCTGAGTTGGTTAAAAATGCCTCGATGTCGGCCAACCTTCACAATAATTATTGAAGGGATTAACCAATTTGTTCCAAACATTACGATCGGCGCTTCAGGAGATAATGAAATACTAAACTACAGACATTCAGGTTGTTCTAGGACCTTAAAATGACTCGTCACGATTGATAAAGATTTGACTTAGAAATTACATTTAACACAGAGTTATACCTTTTGTGGTTTGAACAGGGATCACTTAACTATCTCACAAAGCTATAAATGGACCCCACCCATGATTGCTGATCTATGGAACATCCGAATGTCAGAATTCTAACGTAATTCGAAAGATTATATATATATATGGCTCTGGTATGAATTAGGATTATTGGTCCGAAGGTGTGATTGGATAAATGTATACTGTTAGGATAAATGTATATTAAATATGTCGTAGGCTGAGGGTTGATAACTGTTTTTTTTTTTGCAAAATATTTCTATAATTTTATATATCCTGTTCAAAAATTGCCATCATCATACAATGAAAAACGAACAGACTTTTTTAATCTATCAAAAAATTAATAAAATGACAATTTTTATTTTCAAATGCCTCAAACAATTAGTGTCACACTTCATAATCCCATTACTTTAAACCTTTGCTTAGAATTGCGGTTAAGATTAAAGAAACCCCTAAAATGAAATACAAAAGACTTAAGACACAAGCACCTATTGGGCGCCAAACATCACACGTAGTTCCTACACCAGAATGTCATCCGTTTTGTTTACCACAACCTGAATTGATATTCAATACTTTTTTATTTAAAAAATATCATTGAGAACAGCAGATTCATTTCAATGCTTTAACATAAACAATTTTGCACATGAATGGCAAAAAATACAAGGGATCTCACACCACAATATTTTTTTCGGTAATTCTCGAGAAATTTGAAAATGAAGATATAAAACACCTTTTTGGCGGAAAAAATATGTTATTAATTTTAATGAAGCATTAAATACGTTCGATAAAGCCGGATAATAGATTGTGGCAAAATTTTGCTAAAATTTTATGATTAAGTGATTAATGTGTTAATTTTTTTTACTCTGAAACTCCTAATCAGAAAAAAATAACTACACGTTTTGTTTAAACATATTGATGATTAGTAATGCCTAACAAGCAAAATTTAAATAAAAAATAAAATTCTCACACTTGAAATAAATGTGGAAATAAAAAAAACACAAACGAAAAAACAACAACACTGTGCAAAACTTACTGTGCTCACAAAACGTTCCCGTATAGCCAGCATGGCATTTACAAAAAGTGCCCACATCAACCATTTCGCATGTGCCATGCCCGGAACAGGGTAGATTTTTTGATGAATCAATATTGGTGGCATTGGCAAAACATCCATCTGCAAATTATTAAGGTTTTTTGATTATTAATCAAATGATTTTTTAAATTTAGTTAAGCTTCTTCTTCAAATAGTAATTAATTATGTTGTTTTGCTGGGTAAAATAAATAAATACTCACCATTACATTGAGGCTGATTGCACAGCGGTCGTATCTGTTCACAATGTTTACCAGCTCTTCCCGGTGGACAATGGCAATAATAGCTACCGGGGGTATTTAGACAACGACCCTCCAAACATGGAGATGGTGTACAGTGATCATTGGCCTCCTGAAATGACGAAGAAAACTATCCGGTTGAACATCAATTAATTTTTAGTAGTAAAAATAAAATATTTGCATCTTAAATAGGTATTATGTTAATAGTATGTATAGCATTTGTTAAATCCTCCACCATAAGGAAGAGGAGCACTTTAGTTCGCAACTCCTCGTCGGAAATCCATTGAAAATTTTATATACCGGTCCGAGTTTTTATATAGTCACTATACAACGGTATAACACAATATTCAGCATTTTGAGCACATTTTTCAACTGTATTGACTGTAATTTTGTACTTTTTCAATAAATATTGCTCCACATTTTAGGGTAGTCCCATATATAATTCACATTGGGGAGTTTGAGTTCATTTTTTAATCACATGGCCTTTCATTTTTAGTTTTTTTTTTTGGATTCTCATTGGGTAGAAATTCTACAAAAATATTAATATTTCACTTTTTTGTATAGCTTCCACCATAACGGCACGTTTATCAGCCGAATTGACTCTAATTTGACATTTTCAGATCTCATTAGTTGGCAAATTTTTTTTACCAAAAATTGCACCATCGGTCCATGATCAGTCCCTATACAGTTATTTCAATGGCCCTAGGCGCATTTTGTGAAATAATTTGGGACCTTCTTCATAAATATTTTCAATATAACTCAATGTTTTTACATAGTCCAGTGTCAACCTGAGGTTCTGTACTTTGGTATTTCATTTTCCACTCGACGCGACCAAACTTAACAAAATTTTTATTTGCTCAGATTTTAATTGCAGTTCGAAGATTTTTGTTCTGGGTGAGTGGAAAAAATTTTTGTATAAAATATTCAGCAGATGCCGATGGATTACCAGCCGAACTATTCAAGACCGGTAGCCAGACTCTTATCATTAACATGCACCTACTGATTAGTACAATTTGGCTAGAAGAATGCATACCCAATGACTGGAACCTCAGCAGCATGTGTCCCGTGCACAAAAATGGATACAAGACGATATATGCCAACTATAGAGGAATTAGTCTCCTCCCCATCACATATAAAGTGCTATTCAGCGTGCTGCGCCAAATCCTGGAAAGGACCCAAATCCTGGAAAGGACCCATGAAAAACACATCGACACATTTCACCTATTCCTCGACTATATAGCCATATTCGTAAGCCCAATCCGCTCAAAGGTTTTTAAAGCCATGTCTGCGTTCCGCATTCTTGCAATATTAATACGGCTATGCAGGATAACTTTAAGCGGCATAAGGTCAGCAGTTAAAGCTGGAAAGGACCTGTCGGAGTCTTTCAATACAGAACGAGGATTTAGACAAGGTGGCAGTTTGTTGTGTGACCTTTTCTGATATACTGCTGAAAAAGGTCATACGACATAAAAGGTCGAACTTTGCGAACGCTTACAGCCACCTTTGTACGAATAGAGGTGTAGTCTGACAAATTAGGACTTGTAGTAAATGGCGAGAAGACCAAGTTGATGGTATCAACGCCCAAGACGTCCAGTGGACTCGGACCAACTGATGCTACTACTTTCTGAGGAAGGCCATCTCTCGCCTCAAACTCACACTCTACAAGATGCTGATATGCTGGTGTATGAAACTGAAGCATGGGTACTTGCGCAGGCAGAGAGAAAGATTCTCCGAATGGTTTTTGGAGAAAATGTCTCCGAAAGGCCTACGCATCGATCTGTTTCGACGGGGAATATCGGCGTCGATTGAATTATAAAAAGTGAGCCAATTGATGGTTCACGCAGAAGAGGAAGGCCACGATTTCGATGGGAAGACCAAGCGGAAAGTCTTTCATGGTCTCATGGTTTTTCAAATTGGTGGAGCTGTGCACAAAACCAACGCGTCTGGATACCTATCTTAGCTCGGCCTATGGAACAAATGTTCTGTCTCAAACCAGTTTGGTATTTATGTGTTCGATATAGGTTAATGTTTTGACATAGTTATCACATTTTTCCAACTATGTGAACGGTTTTTTGTAAATCCAAGTTCGTGTTCGAGTTCAGACTTCTTCCCATAATCATTTCAATATTGGTCCATGTGATTTGTCCCCATATATATGTCCCACACAATTGTCGCTATATTAAAAATTATAGACGCATTTTTTCAATGAAGAGGTTGTTGGGGTTCATGGAAGGCGAAAATATATTTCCAGAAAATGTTCGATATAGTTCCATGATTAAAGACTCCCAAAATAAAAGAACCTTTTTAACAGTTCCTCAAATATGTTTGGAGTTCTTGTGAATAAAAAAAGTCATCCCAGAAAATGTTCAATGCCGTTTCATATTATGTAGCCTTACAAGGTTCGACTCAATTTCAGGTTTGTTGTAGTTCCTAGCTCAGTTTTTCCAACATGAGTGCCTGTAATTTCTCAGATCATAAAAAATTGCTAGCAGATGTCCCGAGTAAAAAAATGGGCACACCAATATTACGCTGAGAACCAGAAATGTCAAATTATAAAATTACAACTATGAAAGTATAAAAAACCTGGGGGATGTACCAAGTGAGGACATTTTGAGGTGAGGCGTTTATTTCAAAAATTAATTATTGATAGTAAAAAGAATTTCATAGGCTGCCCACTTCTGCTCTATCCCTCTGGGTCCATTATATACATGTCCACTTTTTAAAAAAGCTCCACAAGAACCAGCTTAATTGTTGGTATGTCATTTCAGAGATGTTATATCTTCAGTGAAATTGATATATTTTGTAAAACATATTCTCCTTCTATTTCGCGTATTCTTGGGCCTTTTTCGTACTGATTTTTTTTAAACCACAAAAACACCTCTTACTGAAAATCCTGTTTTTTGGATTCCCGAAATTTTGGTCTACTCCAGAGATAAGGAGTTGTTTATTATTCAAAATTTCCTCTCTCACTATAGATGTCAAAAAGCCTTGGTCATCGGATTATCTTCCAGTACAATTCCTAAAGTTTTTCTTTTAAGACCAGTAGCGTAAGTCTCTAAGATAACTGTTTTCCCTTTACAAAATAACATAATCAAATTTAAATCACAGTCAACGACTTAAAATAAACGACTTAATGCCATTATTATCCAAGTTTATGGTCAATATCGGTTATTTATGTAGCAAATTTTATTCGTGATACCTTAATGAGAGAATGTGTTTTGGTAAGCTTCTTAACAGACACGTTGTTTCATTGTCATGGTCTATAATGAAAACATAAAGTTTGTTTCTTAAGTCTTTTGTTTCATTTGCATGTTCGCCCCTTCATCAATGATTTCAAGAAAACAAAAAACAAGCAGCCCCTTTATATGTTCTACATACCGACATACATGCATACATACATATGTAAGTAATCAGTTTAACACGACTGTTTTGTTTTCATGACATTGTTACAATTTAAATTGCCTTTTCAATTCGTATTTAGGCTATAAATAAGCATTTAAATAATGGAACTATCGACACCTTCTTCCACCACAGAATCAACAACAACAAAATTACAAACAATTCCCAATAAAAAAACACAAATGAAAACAATTAACACAAAAACAATTTTGGTTACTGACAAATGTGAAGATGTGAGTTATTTTTTACTTAATATTCTCAACACATTCGGAATGACACATTCATAACATTGTCGGAATAATAAAAACTGTAGCAAGGGACAAAAATAACCAGCAACTGAATGAAGACATACATTCCAATCCAATCCAAAAAACGCAGAGTAACACCTCATGAAACTCTAATAAATTTCCATGGTTCGACAATGGAAATACGAAAATAATAAACAACTTAGGAATAATTAAAATGAGCTCAAAATAATTTTGTTTATTTTTCGTTTTGGTATTCGACAGTATCTGATAATTTATGTACATAAATTTGTTGTTGTTGTTAATTGTGTGTGTGAGCCTGTTTGTGTGTTGCATGTGATGCATATTTATAACAAAAAACTTAAATGTTTTAAATCTCCTAAAAAATTGAGTTTTAATTTAAATCAAATACCCATTGTTTCATACAAATTATCGATCGTTATGTCTTTCAACAAATGGCGGGGCCATATTTTCTTAACTTTATTGATTCCAATGCGTTTTGATCATACCAAAAAACAAACTCATTGGCTATGTGAAGAAAAAGAAGACAAAACGAACGCCATCATCTAAAGTGGCACCATCAGCAACTGACCAACATTATGTCGTTTGACCATTCACTGAAGAATGAAAGAAAGAAAAACAAAATAGTTTAAGTAGACCATGAAATCCACAGAACCTCGGGAAGTGGCAGCAAAATGGCAACAGTGGGATGGATATGTGACAATGCAAAAATATAAAAAAATATTCGATTTTGTCGCAAAATGTAGTACAAATTTTGCAAAATAAGGGTTTGTAGTCTACAATATTGTTTCCTAAAAGAAAGCCTTAATATTTTAATATAGCCGCCATATATATATATATATATATATTGGTACTAGAAATTAAAAGCTGGACCTTTCTTTATCTCAGAGAATGTAGAGATATTAAATTTTTAAACTCTATATAAGGGTATAGCTTTGTGGGTCCCCAAAAAATTGTCGCAAATATTGGTCTAGATCCACATTTTAGTATACAGATCGTTATATCTCAACTAGTTGAGTCGTTCTAGACATGTGTGTCTGCCCGTCCGTCTGCCCATTATAATTTTTTAAACACGATACATGACACAGTTATGAACCAATCGTCACGAAACGTTGCATGTTGGACGTCTTCGGGGCAAAAAAAATCGATTTTTTTGTATTGATCGGTTAATATTTAGTGATCCAATTCAAACGAAAACTTTATTTTTCCTGTTACTCTGGTCGCTCTAGAGTCTGATATTTCGAATTTTTGAAGAAGGAGCAAGTTTGTATATTTTCATCACCATCGGTTAATATATAGCGTGTCAAATGGACCCAGACTCCAGAATATTACACAAATGTTCACCCCGGGAACAGATTCCAGAAATATGCCAGGGTAAGAAAAAAAGGACAAATATCGAGACATATTGCCGAGGCTTGATATGTAGATTCGTAGAAATTTAGAGTCCGGGTAGGTGTGTAGAGTATCTCTATTTACTGGTTTTGGAATATATATATTATCTACATACACATTTGGAAGCATATATTTATTATAGTTTGCTCTAATTGACTTATCTATCTCTATGGATCTACAGAAAATAGTTTGTGACAAGACATTTTGACGCCGTTCCGCACTTTTTATACTTTCCACAATGTGGTGTTTTTTTTTTAAATCCCTTAAATCGGTCAGAATCTTTATATGGGGACTCTGTTATGGCATTATGTTATAGTATGTTGTTCATGTAAGAATGGTTAAAAATTACATACACTTAGGCTGTACAGGTGAGATAGAAACTTCGACATACCCCATATTTTAAGAATATTAAGTCAAAAAATCAACAGATATGGAAAATTGTCTAAAAACTATATTTTCCCGCATAGTTTCCTTATATGGAAGCAGTAAATGGCGAGAAACAAAGCTGATGGTATCGACGCTCAAGTCGTTCACATGGGTCAATTGTGGAACTTGAAAACTACAGCTTCAAGGTAGTGAACGTTTTTATATACCTCTAAAACTAATATACAAAACTAAAAACATTAACTTTGAAATCCCGAGAAGAATAGTGTTGGTCAAAAGATACTACCATAACTCGAGTAAGCAAGGCCACCTCTCGCTGACCCTCAAACTGACCCTCTACAAGACGCTGATAATGACACCCGTGCCGATGTATAGATCTGAAGCATGGGATGAGACAGTTCTTGTAATGTTTGAGAGAAACATTTTCTGAAAATCTATGACCTATCTGCGTCGATGGTGAATATCGCCGTTGAATGAACCATTAGTTGTACCATCTTTTCTCGGATATCGACGTAGTCAGACATATCGAGTTGCTGCGATTGAGCATGAGGATGCAGCTACTCAAACGGCTAAAAGCGAGTCAACTGGTTCAAGCAGGAGGTGAAGGCCACGAATTTGATGGAAATATCAAATGGAAGACAACATTTCGAAAAATGGCTTTTCGAATCGGAAGTTCTGAACACAAGACCTCAACAATCCAATAAAATTCATATTTCCAAATTTCAGAATTCCTGTTCACTCAAATTCAAGTTTAATACGATTATGTATACATTAGTACCAATTTCCAAAACTTCCTACATATATATACATACAATCAATTGAAAGCATAGTTCCAAATTTCAGGATTCCAGCCCTATCGGTTCAACCAAATCCAACTTGTAACAAATTTAGAACGAATTTCCAAAACTTTCTACATATCCACATCCCACACCCCAACAGCAATTCTAAATCAAAATATCAGTATTCCAGCTCTATCGGTTATTAGTCCAAGATTCAAATTGTACCAAATTTAGTATCATTTAGTACATATAAGTACAAAACTACCAATACTTCCTACATATATAAATTCTGCAATGCAATAGTAATCTTATTTCCAAATTTCCGTGTTCCAGCATTTAGTAATTTTGGTACACAAAATTACAAATATGCATAACTATATACAAATAACAATCCCACAGTCCGATGGTATTATTAATTTTAAATTTCAGGATTCCAGCTTTATCTGTGCTTCCAAATTTTGTAATATAATATATATCCTACTCCTCAACTTTGAGTCTCATTCAAAATTTCAAGTTTGACAAGGCTTAAAACTGTAATGCTACGAAATTGTAATAAATTTGGTACATTTTAGAATTTTTCGGATACTTAAAGTTAAGATTTCCAAAACCAAAACCTACCTACAGCCCATAAGTGACCCTCATTCCCAATTTAAGAGTTCTAGCTCTACAGATTCGCCAAATACAAATGGTACCATATTTAGTACATTTTAGAACTTTTTGTGTCGTTCTAACCAAATATCCAGCCTTATCTTAAATCTTCGGACTAAGAGTGTTCCTCACCCTACATTTCAAGATTCTAGCTTCAGCCATATCGTCTGGGTGATGATGAATCACTAAGTCGGTCAATCACTTTACTCTTTTTTTAATATAGATTTTCAAAACCTTTTATACCAAATTGCAGTCACATGGTGATAAATTCTGCTAAAGCCTTCAAAATGTCTAAAATTTGCCGGTATCTTTATATGGGAGCTATAGCAAAACTTAAACTGTGATAATTTTTGGTAGGAAGATTTGGTACCCATGGGGACATTCAAAATTAAAGCCAGTTCGGTTGAAAAACTTGCTCAAAATACAGAATAAAGGGGTGGGGTCTACCCGGAATCTTTCGCCCGGAATCTTTCGCCAATATTGATAATTCCTCTCTTCCGACCAAAAATGCCAATATTGGCGCTACCTTAAATACTAAAAATCGATACTAATGTCAAGGCCAAAAATTTAAAAGTCTAAAAGTCGACTGTCTGTCGTTTTATTCCGTCTAGTACCTTCGCCACAAAGGGCAGACATTTTGTGCAATGTGTTATAAAAAATCGATATATTTGATGTAAACTTTGTATATTTTTACGACACCTAGAAACCGAAGATGGGATCCATCGGTCCAAACAAACTTGTATCTCAAAAACATTTAAAAATTTAAGGTCATTATCAACAGAATTGAAATTAACTTTGTACATCGAAATATTCTTATCAAATGTATATAAAGATAAAAATGGGTTCCATCGGTCTCCACCTTGTGGTAAATATTCCAAAAAGATACAAAATTAAAAAAGTTAATCATATGAAGCGATCCATTGAATGCACCTATTTGTTAAACTCTGTTAAATCCAAATATGGGATCTACAGGGTCACTTCTTATATTACCCTAAGGATAAGTCAGGATAACTATATATCATATTAGCCACACTATTATTCTACCATCAAACCACTGTCTCCACATTATTGGCACTCTCTATCCATGGAAATTGTCTCATATTGCTAATATTATTTTGCATGCGTATTAAGGTCCGATCAATGGACAAAGTAGCCAACGAGCTGAAGACAGACAGACAACCGCAACAACTACACTAAGCAACGAGGACAGATAGGAAGACAGGAGCTATAGCAAAACTGCAGTTTCACACAATGTGTGAAACGATGATGATGATGGGCCACAGTGAATACGATCAACACACAAACATGACATGGCTGTTACCATTGATGTTGTTGTTGCGATCGGGACTGTTGGTTGTTGTATGTATCATACAGCAGTATCTGTCACACGAATTTGATGCTTTAATACCTTTTAACACTAATCGCATTACGGGCAATCAATTGTGATGAGAATTTTAAAAAAGAAGAGAATGGAAGAAGGAATGGAAGTCTGCAACGCACGTACGGAGGTACGCAAGCACACACACACACACACCGGCGATATTGTACCCATGGCGGAATGACTCTCCATATTTTTTTCTTCCAAAAATGCCTAAAGTCAAAAATCAAAGTCCATACAACCAAAAGAAACCTGGATTAAGAAGTGTGGTGCCTGAATGTGTGCGGGTATTTTTTGTTTTGTAGGCCACAGTGTAGAATGACTAACACTTTTTTCCAGCGTTCAATTTCCGTTTATATTTAAAATGTTCTTGTATTTCATGTTTTTCCATTTTTTCTCCTTATTTTTTGGAGCAACAATTTTGTTCTTTGACTTATCTTAACGATTTTCTCACGTGTTTGTTTCATTTTTTAATTTTTTAGATTTTGAGGGGGGATTTTAAATCCCAGTTTTGTTTACAAATGATGATGACAGTACGTGTGGCTGTATTTTAAATAAGTTTTTGTTTTTTTTTTTTCATTCGGGAAAGAATTGGAGCGTCCCATCTTCTAAATGAAAACTAATCACTTGTGGTATTTGTTCTTCTTTCTCTCTTTTGTTTTATGTGGCTCTCACCCTTATTTTCAAATAAATTTTAAACTAATTTTTATCGCTGTTCATTAGTTGGCGATTTATGGCCATGATTTGTAAATTCTACTTTTGAAAATTAATCATCATCAGGGAATATTAGATGAAAATAATTTTTGATTTTCTATTGTTGTTGTTATATTTCATGATTCTTCTTTAGGTAATTTCATGCTTGATTCAGGAAATGAATTGAAATACTATTTGTTGTATTTCACTATTAATGTTGGAGGAAATTAGTTTCCTCCCAATGTCGTCCTGCCTTATGAGAACAACTCACATAGAAATTTGAAAGGAATCAACAAGGAAATCTTGTTGCACAGTGTAAATGACATATAAAATCCTCCATGATATTACTCATAGGAACGGTAGCCAATAAAAGACAATGTAGTGATAACGTCTGGTAATGCTTGTTAACACCATGTACGCTTGTGTCTTAAGTCTTTTGTTCTCACAATCAAAAGCAATGCCAATATAAGCAATTCAACCATAAATAAATTTTATACAATACAATAATCGATACATTGTTAAACAGTTTATGTTTTCTTCGGTGATCATTAAAATCACATATAATTTAACAAGGCAGCACTACAACAGCAACAACAATAAGACATTGTTGTAACAACAAAATAATTTAATATACATTAAAAACAAATTGTTAAACATTAAAATGATTTCGAAGCACCAAGTATACAACTTGAAGAAAAGAAACGTAAGAAAAAAAAGACACTTGAGATAAAGATTTGAAACACTTACCTCACATAATGTACCGGAATATCCCAGCGGACAAATGCAATTGAATTTACCAATCATGTCCACACATTCGCCACCATTACGACACGGTGAATTAGCGCATTCATCAATATCGGTTTCACAATCGCGACCTGTTCATACAGTCAGCCACAAAGACAGCCAGCGGTACAGGCAATCCGTAACACCAATATCAGCAACGACATCAACAAGTCGGGCGACAACGATTTCCAACCAGATAACGAGCAAAATGAAAACGACACAGTTAAAAAAACCAAAAAAAAAAAGACCAAAAATTTCAAATACAAATAAAATTCATATCAAATTATTAACGGCATAACGAAAAAAATATAGTAGATGAAAAAAAAAAACAATATTGAAAGCATAAATAATTTCAACTGTCGTTAAACAAAAAATGGAACAACTGTCAATTACAAGAAATTTTTAAAAACGAGGTTGGTGAATAAAATTATGTTTTTTGTTTTTGTAATTTTTAACATATTTATGGGTGATTAGAACTGAAAAACATTTTTATTTGACAACTTAGGTACTGTTAGTAATGTAATGGTGTAATAATTGATATCGTTTCAGAGTGAAGCTCTTTGACAGAGTTAGTGTACAAATTACACTGTGACACAAAATGGAACTCATGGTCTAGGGCGGAATTTTTCATATGGGGATAAAAACCCTTGGTGAGTATATTGAGAATTCAGGACAAATTCGACATAGGTCAAGTTTTTAAGTTGCATTTTTAGAATTCATAGGTTTTTGTCATCATATGCATTTAAGTTTAATCGGTTAATTAAAACCGGTTTATTGTTTATTATCGAAAAATCTCAAAAATAACATGGCAAACAATGTTCCCAAAAATCATCACAATATAACTCAAAAATTTCACTAGTGGCTAATTTGTCCTTTTGGATTCCTAATATATTCGCATAGAGAATTTTGTCCATCAAAATCAAAATTCTATTGTACAGAGTTAGGATGTTTGGTATAGGGATACACATGTTGACGGTTTGGAATAGCTCCTATATAACGAGTGTTATTGTGGTCAAGTTTTAAATGAACTGTCTGTAATTTCGTATTTTGGGTTCTCATTGTAAGGAAAATTTCCCTACCAATTATTAATGTTGACTCAAGTGTTGGTGCAGCCCTCATTATTTGTGATATTTTTGATATTTTGGAAGCTTTTATTTTAATAAAATGTTGTATTCTAATTGGATGTCAAGTCTTACTACAAAAATGTATCAATATCGGCCCCGTTTTAATATTGGATTTGGATGGTTTATGTTTACTTTCGTTAAAACGGCGCTACGTGTAACACACGCAACGAAACACTTGCAATTTTACGGAAAAAGTCGCTCTCTAATAGGTGTTCACAATTAATGATTAAACACCTAACAAATTGTTTCTTTAGGGTCACTGAAAGACAAGGTATATTCCACCAAAAATCAAGTCCTCAAATTACTGGGTATAACCAATGATGAATTAATTTCAGGATTCCACTCTGGAACCGCATAAAAACATAGATGTTGAAGTTAAGACAATAAAAATCGCATACCTAAATTCGGCGAGCATTCAAATTACATAAAATTGGTCGGAACCTTTATATAAAGGTTATGTCATTGTTAATGTATGTCAGGAGGTTTTTTATCCTTGGAAGAGAAAAAAGGAATTGTAGACACTTAGATTAGAAATTGAGCTTAGAACTATCTGAAAGGAAAAATTGGAGGTGTCTTTATATAATATCTATGTCTCAGAATGGATCGATGACGAATTTTTTCTTCGAAGACTTTTTTATCCACCAAGAATCCGGAAAGCTAAATTACAAACTTCTAGACGTTTAGAAAAAAAATAATAATTAAACGTTTTTTAAGGAATCCACTCTGGAGCCGTTTAAAAACATAGAGGTTGAAGTTAAGACAATAAAAACTCTTAACTCGCAGACCTAAATTCGGTGAGCATTCAAATTGTAATTGTAGACATTTAGATTAGAATTGGAATTGTAGACATTTAGATTAGGAAATGAGCTTAGAACTATTTAAAAACATGTAAAATGGGTGGGGTCCTTATAAAATATGTATGCCTCAGAATGGATCTATAATGAACATTTTCTTCGAAGATGTGTTTTATCCACCAAGCATCCGGAAAGCCAAATTACAGTCTAGTCGTTTGAAATACACACCTCGAACCATAAAAATTCCTAAACTGTGGCTGGACCTTTATAAGTGATCCAAGTCGAAACATGGACATACAAAAGTGCATCGATTAAACTTAACAACAATTGTTGTTCGCATTGGATCCCGCACAATTTTAAAATCGCTCAAAAAGGGCTCGTGTCGATTGGTGCAAACAAATTTCGTCAGTGTATTTTTGACCGGCCAAAACATGAAATTCATAGCTAATTTTTCTGCGGCCTTTACTTTGCACCCAATGACCTATTTCATACCGACACAGAAAGAAATACGTGGTCAACAAATTTTTGTTGCCATGGGTTATTATTTAAGAGCCCAAAAACCATGTTTTAGAAGGTTCTCAATCCTAGTTTCCACTCGTGCTTCCAATCAAATACGGTATAATATGTTTTCAAATTTTATTGAACAACCTTTAAGTTTTTTCGGAAATCAAATATTTACGTAATTTGTTGATATTATGATATGTTTAGATGATGACTTTACTGATTATAAAAAAAAAAAACAAAAAATAAAATGGTTTTATACCCTTCACAAACTATTGTGTGGCCCCAGTAGTTTGTAATGCCGCGAAATATTGGTCCTAGACCCAACGTTTAGTATATCGATCTTCATCATCAGCAGAGTCGCTAATGGTTAGTAAATTTAGCACGAGGTTCCGGTTATGTTCAAGAAAAACGCCTATAATTTCCTATTAATTTCTCTTTCGAGATGAGCTACATGATCGGAGTTGCAATGAAAAGGAAAGCCAGAGAGATACTACATTCCCACCACTATGCGTTTCGCTGTTGGTTAAGCGGCTCAGCAGGCATATTGGGCAATATGGCTTACCAATGTCTTTACTTGATAAGTTGTATTTATGTCGACTATTGTTGCGAAATTGCATCTACGAATTATATTCAACCGTGTCAAGGTTCGGACATTTGGCATCACACCGGAACATTCCTTCAGAGCAGAAGGATCATTCATGTAAATGGGGTTCTTAAAAAAAATGTTCAAAGTTTTCTAGACCTTCGGCTTTTGGATTTTTATGACCTGAGATTGTTGTTAACATCCTTAAAATCTTTCTAATCCTTTCAAACCACAAATTAACTCCTCTCTTCTGTTAATTTTACAAATTCAAATCCTTCCCATTCCTTTACATACTACACACCACTAACATATTTAAATTCGCCTTAAAAAAAACAATTCAAGTTTTAAGAAAACAAACTAGTATTACTTAATCAAAACCCCCCAAAAATTTAAATCAACTACAAATATTTTCGTAAATTTTAAGATTTTTTCACACAACTACCAACCAGACTTAAAAAAATGGTATTCCGCCAAAAAAGTGTGACACAAATGGCTAAAACGCCAACACAAACAAGTCGTTATCCCCCTAAAGGCAAATAAACCGTCATGACATTTTAAAATCAATAAAAACAACAACTACAAAACCTCCTAGTCGAGAAACAGAAATCGTCACACCGATAACCAACTGAACTGGGCAGCAAAATGATCTACACTTGTTCCGTACACCGACAAAAATGTTTATTTGATTAAACCACCAAGCATGTCTATGATTGCGGTGAACTCAACGCAATCCAGCGCAGTTGGATGGCTGGCTGGCCATCGATTTGCTTAGTTCGCCAATCGATCGGCGGTTTTGGGTTGCATCGTTACATACCTGTAAATCCAGTTGCACATACACAGCGATAATCATTAACCAAATCTCGGCAAGTGGCACCATTTTTGCATTGGCCCACGCAATCATCTAAATCGGTGGCACACGTTGGACCACCCCAACCCTCAAGGCAAACGCATGAAAACGAACCGGGCAGATTAATGCATTGGCGGGCATTTACACAGGGTCCCATCGTATGGCTGGTGGAGGTCGTCGTTGTATGGTTGGAGGTGGCGGTGGCAAGGGCCGAAATCAATGCTGATGAGGATGAAGTACTTGAACTGCCAGCAACAGCCTTCGCCTGTGATGGTGGAGGATAACTCATTTCGCATTCGTTTACATCGATTTGACATACATCGCCTGTCCATTTGGCGGGACAAACACAACGGAAACCGCCGATTAGATCAATACAAGTGCCACCATGCTCGCAAGGTCCACCGGCACATTCATCGATATCTGAAAAACAAGATCAAAAACGAATGTTAAATGTTGTTGTTCGACGATTGTTTGGACAAAAACCAAAAAAATGTGGTTGGGTGCCATGGAAATAGCTATACAAACGACACACACACATGCACACAACCCATATGAAAAATGAATAAAAGTCTTTGGAAAAAATATAATGGTTTATTTATGGGTTTGGATTTAAGCGAGGCTTTGGTTGTGCTGCATTTTTGTGTAAGGAGATTTACACAAAGTGGATTCAATAGCTGTTTTGTTGCTTTCCCGAACTTCAAGTGCAGCATCTTGCGACAAAAATGGTTTGGGTGCTGCCATTGAGGAACAGAAAAAAAACAACGGTGAGCTACGCAAGTCAACAACCATCGCCTTTACATCGTTGATGCTGATGACGACGTCTTGAGTGATGTTTTTAAAACGACTGGAGACACTTTTATCAATTTTGTTGAAATCTTCGGCTGTTTACCGACCAACCGATCGACCAACTAACCAACCGGTGTTCGAATTCTCTCACAGTCATTGAAAATCGTTTCCATTTGTATCTGTTGCGTGATCAAAAAGTAAACACAATTAGCTCCAAAGTAAAGTGCATAACAAAAGGAGGATATGCTTCAGGTTCACTCCTCAAGCAATGAGTGTATATGTATGTGTGTGAGATTGACTGCCAGACCAGAAGTTGTTTGGGCATTAGACCATTGATTTTTTTGATTTGTTTGTTTTATTCTTGAAATGCATTTATTTCATTTACAATGCAATAGATAAATAAGACATTTGGAGTTTACAGTCGAGTTGGATTTAAGCGGTGGATTGTGATAGAAGAAACGAAAGACTGAAGGCACAAACGTGAAAATTAAAATATAATATTTTTTACTTATTAAAAAATATATTATGATAGGTTTTCATAATATTGGTTGGTAAATATCTCCCCTGACAGTTTACGATAATGTTTAAATTACTTTCCGAATGTTTATTATCAACAATAATTTTATTTTTTTACCCTTCACCATTACGTGGAGTGTATATTTGTCATTCGGCAAGCAACACATCGATATATCTCTAGTTGTCCCTGTACACTATATTTATTATTGATCACAATAATATTCTATATCGATTTAGCCATGTCTTTCGGTTGAAATCACCATAGAGATCACAATATTTTGGTATTGAAAATTGATTCATGTTTTGGTATAACCCCCATACAATGGTACCCCCAATATTCGATATGTTGGAAACTTTTTCAATGGAATTAGCTGAAATCTGGTATTTTGTGTTCTCATTGTAAAGGAGATCTCCAAACCTAAAATGATCACTATAGGCTCAAGTTTCGGGGTAGTCTCCAATTATTCTTTTATATCCTACACAATTATGTTGTAAGGGTATTATAGCTTTGTGTGCCCCACGAGTTTGTAACGCAGCGAAATAATGGCACTAGACCCAACTCTTAGTATACCGATATTTCCACTAGCTGAGTCGATTTTGACATGTGTGCCTGTCCGTCTATCCATTATGATTTCTAAACACGATACAGGCAAGAGTTGTAGACTTCTCGCCAAAGAAGACCCCTATTTTTTTGCCTGCTTTTCTGATTGCTTCAGATGCCGCAATTATGACCCGAACATCACGAAATGTGACATGGGAAAGGGGATCTGGCCAAAGAATAAGCATGAATGCTTCGATAAAGATCGGTCTATATGTGAGGGTCAAATGAACCAAGACTTTTGTGTGACAATTTGATAGTAAATCCAAGAGGAGTTGTTGACCAATTATGCTGATCTATGTAGTCGGATGTGGGAGTTATACGTAGATATAGACAGAAGTCTATCTATTCTGATATGGATTAGTATTACCACACTAGTGGGCGGAAATGTATCACTAATGGCTAGGATGATAGATTCTTATTGGTTGTCAAATTTCACAACCAAAAATTATCAACATCGGCCCCCGGGCTTTACCACTATTATTCGGAATTTTGAGGGTTTCAAATATGTTTTTTCAACAGTCACACGTCATTTACGTTATGATCAAGGTTCTGCCCCTTTATGGGGTTTCTCTTGGAAGCCTCGATTGATTTCAGGTATTTTGAATGTCCGGACGTTTTATAGATTATTTCATGCATTTAAACCATTTACCGAAGCAATTTTCTTCTCCAATTCAGATACCTTCACATCATGGGTTTTTAACTTTTCAACAGGATCTTCAACGAGAACAAACCTTTTTAGAGACCAGGTGTTCATGCAATGTCAAATATATGCTGGTGGAATAAATTTCACGAAATTCCTTTAGGCAAGCTGAAGGCGAAAATTGAAGGCTCATAATTAAACGAGTGTCTATTTTTATTCGAGATTCTTTATTGGTTTGGAGGTTATGAAGTCTTAATGCATGATATGAAGGTCAGTGAGTCGTTGTAGAAGTCCAGAAACTCAAGCAGTCTTTAATAAACAACTGAAGACTGGAAGCCTTTACAGACAATACCAAGCCAATTCCTTCGAATAGTCTCTGTAGGCTAATAAAATACCAAGGAGTCTTTGCAAACAAACTGATGTCCAGGGAGACCCTGTGGAAATTCTGAAGACAGGAAGTCTTTATACATGAACTGAAGATCGAGAGTCCATTATTTATGAATATATGGGCAAGAGTCTTTATAAACGAACACATGACACGGAGTCTTTTTAAGCCAACTGTGGTCTTTAAAGACGGACTAGAGGTCAAGAAATTTTTAGTCGGGAGTCTTTATAGACTCACATAGGGTCTCTGTAGACTAGCTGAATGATGTTTCATATATGCTATGGAACAAGGGAATCTTTATAGAAAATTTGCAGAATAGGATTCTCTACAAAGGTGAAATAATCTATAATCCAGAATTATATCTATGGTACGATAGCCTAATAAATGATTTTTCAATATGGAATTCACATCCTCGAATTTAACGGAGTTTTTGACTGCTGTCGATTGATGCTGACACAATAAATCGGCTATATATTTTAGAGTTGTTGACATTTTCACTTGAAATTGTATAGGTTCGAATTAAATCCAAAACCAAAATAAAATTTCTTGAAACCGAGAAGGGAGGGTCCTCTTAAAAGTGCCCCAGCAGACAGGCGATAACAAGGGTGGTGGACAAATTTGAGTCTACATATTCGCTTACGCTCCACCCTGGTATTTTAAATATGAGAAACCAACATTTATAGATATTGAAGAAAATGTTGTTATCCCAAGTCTTCATTTCAAACCTCTGTAAATTGTGGTCAAACCAAAAAAAAATTTTCTTACACGATACCATGAAAAATTATTTAATCGCCATTAAACGAATTTATTGTGGAAAAACAAATGCTCGATTCCAAGACAAATGTTTTAATTTCAAATAAAACAAGTTTTAATGGAAATTGTATATCTGTTGTGATTACTGAAATATTTTTTTAATGGAATTATGAATACAATTTTCATTTGCAATAACATTTATTTGAAAGTTAGTTTTTTCGTTTTTGTTTGTGTTTACAAAATTCATATGTAATGATTTGGTTTTAGTTTTTTGCCACATTTCTTTTGAAAACTTATTTATAGTATTTTCTTGTCTGCACAAAGTATTAGCAAACTATGATTTAACAGGGTGCAACAAAAAATATTGGTAGACAATTTAGGGCCTCCATGTAGACCACAAAGGCGTGGAATTTGAAAGAAAATTTAAAGTCTCCATATAGACCACAAAGGCGTTGATTTTTAAAAAGCTTTATGACCTTCATATAGACCACAAAGGCTTGGATTTTTAAACAGCTTTTAAGGCCTTCATATAGACCAAAAAACGCCTGGATTTTTAAACAGCTTTTAAGGCCTTCATATAGACTACAAAGGCGTGGATTTTTAAGGCCATCATATAGACAACAAATGCGTATGGTCTATATGATCACAAAGGCGTGGATTTTTAAACAAGGCCTTCATTTAGACCACAATGGCGTTGATTCTTTTAAGAATTTTTAAGGCCTTCATATAGACCTCAAAGACGTTGGTTTTTAAAGGATTTTGAAGGCCTTCATATAGACTACAAATGCGTGGAATTTTAAAGGATTTCCAAGGTCTTCATATAGACCACAAATGCGTGGATTTTTAAAGAAATTTTTAGGCCATCATATAGGCCACAAATGCGTGGATTTTTAAATAATTTTTAAGATCTGTATATAGACCACAAATGCGCGAATTTTCGAAAAATGTTTAAGGTCTTCATATAGACCACAAAAGCGTGGACTTTTAAACAATTTCTAAGGCCTTCATATACTTCCCATCACCCCACCCTGTTTCCATTTCTTGGTAACTTGTAAATAAATCGAAAAATTAACAAACAGCATAACACGCAAATGCTTACAAAGAAACCCAAATGTCTAGGAGGGAGAGAGGGTAGTGGGGCACTAACAAACAAAATCAGAAAAATTATATCAAAGTAAATCAAATCCACTTACTTATTTCACATGTTGGACCAGTCCAACCGGGTACACAATCGCAAGTGAATTCCGAAACTGGCGGAATCTGTTGTTGTTGCTGATGATGGTGGCTGTGACTGTTTGTGGTGGCATAGCCATTATGATGGCTGGCTGATTCGTTTGTCGTGGCTGTAACATTGGTATGACCATACAGCAATGATGACAACAATGCTGCTGACGATAATTGTGATCCTGAATTTAATCCTAGCTGCGGTAAATTGTGTCTATTAACTGGTTTTGCCATAGCTGAGCTTAAGTCACGCATAACTCGATACGATGATGATGACGACGACGAAGATGATGAGGATGATGATGGTAATCCACTGGTATTTCGCAGAGAGGATGATGATTCCTGCAATAATAAAAAGAAACGAAAAAAGTGATAATAATAAATTGAAGATAGCTCTCAAAATTGTGCAAAGGAAATAAAAATAAACGCCGGAATGGGTAAAGCTTAACGTTTATCATACATTTACTTATTACAAATAGCTTTTATTCGGGTTGTTATGATGCTGTTGTTGGTTTTTTTCCTTTCTTCTGCGTAGCATACAATTAAATGTGCGCCAACAATTTTTGAAATACATGTTAATCTAAGCCATTTGTACTGTGCTGTGCGGGGAAGTCGGCATATATGTATCAACTAATGGACTTATCAGTAATAACTTGGCAAAACCCATTACTTATCTTTCTGCTGTTTTTGGGGGGATTTCTTTGTGGTGATTCAGTCACGATTTAGGAATTATTCAAAAATACACATACACGTTAAAGATGTGTTGTCGTCTCCGGAAATTAAATGTAGAACAAAATACCCTATTTGCTTATAGGACTTATTAATTAATTCTACGCAATTTTATAACCCCTTAAAAAAAGAAAAATACGATAGCGGCGCTTTATATAACGTTTATAGCATCGTCACATATGGCGAAATATAGAAATATGCTTATAAACTCGAATCGAATCAATCGATCGTGTGAATCTTCAAACACGATTGTTTGTAGAAGAAACCCTTCGATGTACATCACAATTTGTTTGACTGACCTAAAGAATAGGAATTGACACATTACTGTTACTTCGATGGGTATAACAGCTGGAACCTTCAAGATTCCTACAATGTGGCATATGTCACTTATTTGAACCAAGGACGAAACCTATTGGACTTGGAAAACAATCAGTTCAAATTTAGATATAGCTCCCATATATATTTTCGTCGCATATTTTGTAAATGGTGCCCCAAATTCCCAATATTAATCCGATTGAGACAAAATTTTGCACAGAGTACTGAAGTAGAGTACTGGATTGATACACGCAAAGTGTTGTTGAAATAATCAGGACCTCTGAATAAAAGCCTCAGTTGCAAAATTACAGCTTTGACCTACATTTAAAAACTGTTTTTGAGATGGTCTGAATCAATACACGGGACTTTATTGACAGACAATATAATTAGAAAATGTGGCTAGGGTCTGAAAATTACAGCCAATTTGATAGCAAAATTCGGATACTTGTTAACTTTTTATTAACAGAAGATCTTTGGAGATCATAAGTCCATAGAAGCCTTTTGGGAGGTACATGAGGGAAGTTTTCAACTCATGATTGATCTCTGGTGGGGTTTCGGTTATAAAAAGGTTTTTGGACGATTTTACTACATATTAGAAATACGATAACCTTGAAAAGAATGAAGGGATAAAGTGAACACTACAAAAATTATTAGGTTGGGGAAAAAGAAATCCATTATTTTTATATGAACTATAGGACTTTATTTAACATGCTTCGGAATGTCCGATTTGGGACAAATATGCACCGTTTTGTTGTATGATTTGTTTGTTCATAATACCTCTCTCATAGATGTCCTGCTCTCTATTTGCAAAAACACAACTCTAGTAGTCGATTTTCACAATCCTCCCTAGATACCAATTTTTTATCATTAAAGAAATTTTGCAATGCAAGAAACAGATGATAATCGCTTCGTGCCAAGTCCGGACTGTATGGCAGATGCAGAAAAACTTCCCAAACAACCTCGCGAAGTTTCTGGCGAGTCACTGTAGATATGTGTGTGCCTAGCGTTGTCCTGGTGGAAGACGACACCTCTCCTGTTGGTCAAGTTGTTGACAGTATAGATTAGAATTTAGAGTTTGGCCATATGGAATAATAAAAAATTCCCTTCCAGTCACCCCAAATGCATAACAGAACCTTCCTGGCCGTTAGTCCTGGTTTGGCCACCGTTTTAGGTGCATCATCGCTCTTTGATCTAGATCGTTTTCGCACAGGTTTATCATATGTGATCCATTTCTCATATCCATTCAGCATCCTTTTAAGAAATGGGTCTATCTCACTCCGTTGGGCCAAGGCTTCGCAGATGGAAATTCGATCCATCCCAATTTTTTCTGTTAATTGATGTGGCTCCCAAGCATCGAGCTTTTTTGAATCCAGCTTTGTGTAAACGGTTTAAAACAGCTACTACTGCTAACATGCTGGTCAACTTCGATCATTTCTACGATTTTATCGACATTTTCCACGACCGTCCTAATGAATTTCTTTTTCCCCAACCTAATATTAAAGATAATGTACAACCTAATATTAAAGATAATTTTTCAAAATGCTGCTTTTATACACGCTACCAACCCGAATAGGACCTCGAAAAAGGCAATCCAATTGATTGAATTATATCAATTTATGTTGGAAGATGCATGTACAGATTCGCCTAAGTTTCGATATTTTGGACTTTATAGCCGAATATCCCCATCGAAGTAACTATGATTTAGAATGATTATTTTCTACTATAGCTGCAAAATACGGACGGATCCTTCACATTTGTTGCACCTATAAGATTTTAGCCGAAATTTCCCAAAGGGAGCACGATATTACTATATGTCGAAATAATTTTTCAAGAGGGATTTCAATAAAAATGTATGTCTCCACATCGGGCAACATATCTGATATCAATATTCAATGTTCCAGATTAGCCATTGGCATTTTAAAATATTCCCGCAACAGTTGTTTTTTTTTTTATAAAACCCAAACATTAGTCTCGCTACATACATTGTAGACTAACAACAACTACAACGAAGAGCGGAAATCAATGCAAATTGAAATAAATTCCATAACAAATTGATTTAACAAATTATTACCCGAACTAAATTCAATAATGCAAGTAAATCATCGACAACATAAGCAACAACAATATCGAAATAGATACAACAAAAATAAAAAATTGTTTTTGTATCACGTATTTTTCATAACCTATGACATACTAGATTCTTTAAAGTATCCGATTAGCTTAGACTAGACAAAAAAACATAAATCGATAACAAAGATATTTTCAAGATCCATGCAATCTTCAAACAGCATCTCCTGTAGTTAACGTGGCTTTAATCTTAATCTTTTTTCCTCTCTAGATACAGAATAATGTATCACGCGGCATGGCATGATATAAATATTCGTAAAATCTCGACAAGGTTATTTTGTGTGGCTGTAAGTTACCTAGTGTATGTGTATGTGTGTTGGCTTACCTTTATCGAACAAGTACCACCATTTTTACATGGCTGTGTTGCACATGGATGCTCTATGATTTCACAACGCTCCCCAGCTAAACCCTCAGCGCATGTGCAACGAAAGCGATCAGGTGCCGTATTCTCACAAGTGCCGCCATGTTTGCAGGGTTCATGTGTGCCGCAGTAATTTAAATCTAGCCAAAAGAAAAGGGAGAAGATTAAGAAAACAACAACAGCCATACGTTAATGTGAATCATATATGTACTGAAATATTAAACTTAAATCAGCCGAACAATGGCTATCATTTGCTGTATGTAAATGGTGCATACAGGGAATTTCATCCAATTTTAGTTCATATGTGATTTGTTCAGCCATAATTTGCGTTTTGTTGTAATTTAATGACTTACCTTGATCGCACAGAATGCCACCCCAATTTGTATCACATTTACATTTCCAGGCTTCGCCATAGCATGAACCATGTTTGCAGCCCGGATAGACGACACATTCATTGCACAGGGGACCTTGCCAACCGGGTCGACAACTGAAAAATCGTGAACAGGAAGAGATGATTATTATATATTCTTGTTTAGTAATTTGTGCCTAAAATATTCAAATATATAAGATAGGACAGAAATTTCTTAATAACGAACCCGATGACTATTGGCACAATTACTGGAAATTTTAATTATATTATATTCTACTTCGGAGTAGACATCAAAGTTGATTTAAAAAATTGGGTTATCTTTTTCTAAAACGATATTGACATCGCATTATATTTGTTTTGACATTTCTCACTTGATGACAAAGAAAAGTAAATTTCACGTTTATTCTTTTGTTTAACGCAAATACACCTTCCTTCCTTACCCTTCATAATAATTACAACTACCGTCAGCCTTCAAAATTATCTTCCCATAATACAATAGCTACACTATCTGTGGAGAACTCCTAACAAAATTAACTAGACAAAGATCAATGATGGCAAACATCACCAATATATTTGTTAAGCAATGAATAGGTCAGCCAACATGGCTACAAACAAAACAGTTAGTCAGTCTGCCTGTTCAGAAAATTTGTACCCACTGACACTTAGTGAGGCCACAATAAATTTGTATGTTTAGACGCTTGCCGAAGATTTGACCTGGCGAATAAGTTATTTATTTACTGTTTACCCTCAGCTAGCAAAGATCTTGTTACAAAGCATTTTGGATATCGCAATAGATGGTTTATAGTTTTAAAACCTAAAGCAAATATTTTTATGAGATTCCTCTTATTAGCTTCACCTATTTTTAAACTTTTGGGAATTTTTCTTTATTTTTAAAATGGAATGCAATGTTTATAGTTAAAGATTTATTACATGTTGTTGTAGGTGAATATGGTGAGTGTTTTTATTTGCAATAGATTGGAGTGTTCTGAAAATGTAACATAATGGGAAATTGTTTGTTGAATTTAATTAATTAATGAGATCAGAATTCAATATGTTAAATTGATTCAGAATTTCAATATGCTAATAAAAACTGATTACATAAATTCTGCCTCAAATTGACACTCATTTTTAAAATTGTATTCATATTTAAATGCTCAGACTTAATGGTAATCAGGGGCTATACTGACACAAAATAATATGTTTCTTCGAAATATAGGTTTTAGACCCGAAGTATTTTTATTCCAAATTCGTTTTGCAAAATTTGGAGTCTGTGGCTGTTAGTCTAACCTAGTAATAACCTACAAAGAAGTAACATACCAGATCATGAATTCTTATATAGTAATATTTCTTGTAAACTTATATAAACTTCGAAGATAGAGACTGAAATTTTCTAAAAAGTCAATAGGGTGGATCGAAACGGGGATCTAATTTTGAAATATTTAGCGTTTTTCCTTTCTACCTGAAATGGACTTTTTGCCAAAAAATTGGCCCATAGTGCGTGGATGGTAGTTTAGGTATCGGTCACTGATGATATAAAAGGAAATGTTCCTTCTACTGGGAAAATAACCAAACAAAAATCTAACATAGTTTATATCAAGTCTTGGTCTATTTGGCGGATCATATGCAACAACGGTTTGTCTTTATATGGCATATATATCCAATCCCTACATTGCCAGATTCTCGGGCCCATAAAGGGAATAAATAGGCATTATTAAAACAAGTGAGCGGAGCAGTACAGTCGGACGGGGCCGACCATACCATACCCTACACAGCTACCACGGAACTCTAACTTTCTTCGGATGTTTATTCCGAGCCTGGGCAATATTTCGTGATATTTGCTCCCTCTAGCCCGTTTAGAGGTCAACAGAGCCTCTTCCTTACACTCACATATTTTGCGAATATTAGTAATATTCAGTACAGTATCTTCTAATTAATCCGAATATCAGTGTTGTGATATTCGGATTAATATTGCCATCGATTCGAAAAAACACAAAAAATTCAGTATTCGGTCCACTTCATCCCATAATTATAATCTGATCATCACCTAAAGTTATAAGCATTGTCCTTGACCATAACTGGATCCTCATGGAAAATTTCAAAGCGATCAGCGCTATACTTCCGCCTTCTAGTTTGCTAATGGGTTACTGAATAATATCTGAGTACGTAAGCACTTGTAAATACTTAAGTGTAACTCCCACATCCGAGTACATACGACAATATAATTGGTATCAATTTAAAGGTCAACCAATCCTCTTGTATATACTATTAAATTCTCCTATCTATGTCCTTCAGGAGTAAATATATACGCCATAGAGTGCAAATTTTGTAATTTTTCACACAAAAGTCATGGTCCATTTGACCCGCTAAATATTGACCGATCTTTATCAAACCAGGCATGCTTATTCTTTGGCCTGATCCCCTTCTCCATGTAAAATTTCACGATGTTCGAACCATAATTGCGGTCTCTAGAGCAACCAGAAAAATCGACAATAATTATGTATTTGGTCCATTTCATCCTCTAAATATTAACCGATTTTTACCAAGAACAATAGGGGTCTTCATTGGGCAGAACTCATCCTACGTGCAAAATTTCGTGAAGATTGGTCCATAACTGTGGCCTGTATCGTGTTTACAAATTATAATGGACAGACGGACAGACGGACACAGATATTTAGATCGACTCAGCTAGTTGAGATATGACGATCGGTATTTAAGTATACCGATCGTGGGTTTAGGACCAATATTTCGCGGCGTTACAAACTGTTGGGGCTGACAACATAGTTGTGCAGGGTATAATGATCAATTACAATATTTATAGGTTACAGCCTAGATTATTGTTATTCTTACAACAATGTTAATTGTTACCCCATGTATTCTGATATTGTTTAGTATTACCATTACCATACCAGAAGGCGGAAATAAAACGCTAATGGTTAGGAAATTTTGCTTGAGGTTCTGGTCAAGACGACGGTTACAATTTTCGATGATGATTATATGATATTTCGGGAATGAAATAGACCGAAAACTTAATTTTCGTCTGGTTTCTAGTCGCTACAGATGCCACAATTATAAGCTGACCATTACAAATTTTCCATGCGAAAGGCGATCTGACCAAACCTTTTTTTGTGTAAAATAACAAATGTGGCGTAATATTACTCAGGCTGGGAATACTTAGAGCTCAGTGGAAGTTGTGTAGGGTATCATATGGTCGGTCTCGTCCGAGTATACTGCTCCGCTCACTGGTTTTAATAAATATTTTGAAATAGCCCATAAATAAAGGTTCCGCCCGTTGTCAGTATTTGAAATATATTAAATACATTTGTGTTTCAAATTGGCTGTAATTTGGCATTTCGTATTCTTGGAAGACAAGCATAATCTTTTTCAAAATGTTTGGTTATATACCCATTTCTAAATATAGTCTTATATGACCACAATTTTTGTGCTTGAAAAACTCCATTCTAGAATATATTCAATATAGGTTGATTTATCGAAAATCCGTAACTTAAGCAAAACCATTGTATGGCTAGAACAATGGTCCCGCTTTATTTGTGGTATGTAGAAGTTCCTAGTCGAGACATAGTTCCCAAATAAAGGTCAGACCTCATAGTGGAGGGTTTACAAAATTGAAATTGATGAAATTGATTGAAAGAAAAAATCAACAAGAAAAGTTCCAAAAACGCACGGATCTACCCTTAAACACTTTGGGTACATACAAGACAACACACTATCCTGTCGATACAATATTATGTCAATTGGACAAACTTGGAGTACAATATGTATAAAATCGGTATGCTGCCATTCGGACAAACGGTGATTATTTGGTGAACAACCTATTTCAATAAAAATAAATACACACCATTTTAAGCTTAATTTTGTACGTAGTGCACAATTTCGTTCCAGGTGGAACTATTACATCAAATCATCGAAACTGTATACAAACATTTCGCCTCAATTGAACAAAGGTTTTTTCGGGTACAATTTCATGAAATCGAAAGGAATATATGGGGGCTATGTCTAAATCTATATCAATTTTCAACCAACTTCAATAGGGTTCGTGCAAGGTATATATATATATATATATGTATATATATATATATATATATATTTAAAGTTGTGCAAGGTTTGCAGCAAATTACAGATTGCACTAAGAGAATTGAATCAAAGCGAATTATGATGTATAAATAACGAATTTGCTATCTATTTTTTTTTAAAGCTATACACACATTTTTGAAAAAAAAACTTAATGAAGTCGAATCTTCCATTCCATTGGATCACAATGGGTTAATTCTGTTTTCTGTAACCTTTCTTTTACCCTGCATTTTAATATCATTTCCAACATTTCTAGTTCAGTTTATTTCCTTTATTAAAGTCGGTGACATGCTCAGCAACAATAAAATATACGAAACAAAAACATAATATTTCTTAATAACACCCATATGACTCACACTCATAACTTCAGTATGACAACGGTAATTGTAAAATGTATGTGAAAATATGAAATGACAATTTTGTAATTTATTTTTAAGTTTTAATTTCTTAGCTTAGTTTTCATTTCTCTAGCGGATACTTACTCGCATTCACCCGGTTTATCACATTTACCATGGACGGGGTCACAGCCCAGTTTGCAAATGGCCTTTTCACAATTGTCACCCGTCCAACCGTTGAGGCAAATCTTTTCGCCCTGCGGTCCGCAATCGTAATGACCAAAGCGATCGTTACGTGATCGGCAGAATGTCGTACATGTCGTATTGTAGTAGGTAGCTGCACACTGAACTCTGACACGATAGGTAATTCGGGCATTTCGACCTATATGATCCAATGTTTTCCATTCGGGTGAGGGTAGGATGACGCTGGAAAATGATGTTTCTTCAATTAACCTTTCGGAATCTGGTAGCCGCAGTAATGTTGTTGTAGTAGTAAATGAAATGGGTGGCACAATTGTTGATGTTGAATTTGAAACACAAAATGGGTGGTATAGACAGATATTGCCAACGTCATCATCGTTTTTGTATTGTTGTTGAGAGAGTTTGTTTTAGAAAATGGAAATTTGTTTTTGTGTATTGTCATGTTGTGTGTGTGTTTGTGTTCATTTTCAATTGCATACAACATCCAACATGTTGTTGATGTGCATTGTTGTTGTTTGTTTTTTGGAAATTGCATTTCGATGATTGGAAATTTAACAAGCCAAGCCATTGTTCACATAAATTGCGATTTGTTTCCATGCAAGACGGAAGTTGAGAAAAATCATTACCGAAAAAAGGAATAGAGGTAAAAAATTAATTTTAATTAAATTACATAAAATTAGCTAAAAGACAATTCATTAACAATAATGGAAAAATAAACCAAAAGAAGGATAACACTTACCCGGATATGATACATTGTACATATCTAATGCTTGCAGAATTAATGTAAATGATTTCTGGAAATAAAATAAGAAATACAAATTAGGAGTATTTTTCATATTTTTAGATTTGACAAAAAATGATACAGGATTTCTGAGATATTTTTAGTAATATCTATATATTAATATATTAATTAATTGATATTAAGTAAAACTAGTTATTAATTAATTTTATACCCTTAGTAAAATTCAAGTTACATTGGGTCTCACTGAATTTAGAAAGTTAACTTCTGATTTTTATTCTCGCAAAGTTCGTAGACTTTTGTAGTTTAAGTAAAAACTTGCAAACTCTTCTGTATCCCTTAAACAACTTACAATTATAATTATCATAGCTGTACTAAAATTATTGTAAATCAAAAATAAAAATCTCTTTTTATTCTGCCATCCATGCAACTGATAATACCTTCAAGTTTATTAAAGATTCACCAACGATTCCCTACTAGTAGACCTAAAAAATAAAGAATGAAAAACATCCACCATCTTACCAAGTTTATAACTTGGCGCTAGAACATCACTGAATATAGCACAGCAAGCGAAATAGTTGAGCTGTGCTCGTCTGGTGTTGTGTCTAGAGTGGCAACATCCTCAACTATAGTTGCATAGTTTGCAAATGTGTAAGTGTGTCGATGCTGGGCACTACTTCTTTAGTCTTTTAAATGAGAATTTCCTGACTTCCAGCTGGTCAGCGGAATGGCGATGATGATGATGTTGATGATGATGACGACGAAGACGTCGTCGTTGTTGCAACTTTAATTGCTTTAGAGGGAATTTTTTCTGACTAAGATTATAAGGTAGATACTTGATAGTGAATGCTATACAAAAAACTATTACAAAGTCAATAGATTGGACAAGGGAAACCTTTACAATATATATATTTTTTAATTTTTAATCATACCGTGTCTGCCAAATCATGTATCTACGCCATGATTTTGCCGTAAATCTATTATCTGTCTATAGATAAATGCAGTAATAGAAATAACATTTTATTGGAAAAAGTGAAACGTGGAAGGGCTGAAAATTGTGAAATCGGAATAAATAGTTTATGGGTAATGCTTGCTATCAAGTAAAAATTACCTTAAGTTATTCAAATTCCCAAAACCGATCGGAACTTTTATAGGGGACTATGTTATCGTAAATTGCTGCCAGAAGACAAAGAAGCACCAAAAAAAAAATACAATTTAACCCTACGGTCAATAACCAAAAAAGTATACGTAGATCAATAACCGTGGTACATTTGTACCCATCCAAAGATAGCTCTGTAACTCATTAAAAAATTGGACTATCGTGAGGTTTTTTGTTTTAAATTAGTCTATGCGGATTTGGTCTAGATGTAGGAACTCAAAATTATATATACATTAAAATAATATATATTTAAATTCATGCTTAAATGATAATCTATCTAAAACAATCATAGTAAATTCGTTATAGCTTTCGAATGGGTTAAGTCTTTACCAATGGTTGGTCTTTACCAATTTGGACATTTGTATGTTGATTTGGTTTGTCTGAACCGGATTTGGTCTTAAAACGCCTTAATAGTCATACTTATATTCTTATGGATCGATTGATACAAATCGAACACGTTTCAATAATCTCTATAAGTAAAAATGTTGTTAACTGTAAGACCGAACTTTTTATACCCTATTCAATGAAATGGCGCCCTATATGATGGCTAAGTCATACAAAATCAAAATATTGTCCGTCCACATGTTTTTTATTCACTTAGAAGACGAAATGCCTGATTTCCTCGAAGACGAAACCGGAATATACATTCACAACCACTTCGGATGAAAAACACGAGCCTTTGACAATAAAATGCCAATAAAGGAGCGCGATCGAATTCGGAGTTATTGGTGTGTAAAAATGATGAAGATGAAGCCCATATATACCCTACAAAACTATGTTGTAAGGGTATTATAGCTTTATGTGGCTCCAAGAGTTGCAACGCCGCGAAATATTAGGTTGGGGAAAAATAAATTCATTATTTTTGTATGAATTATAGGACTATATTTAACATGTTTCTGAATGTCCGATGCACCGTTTTGTTGTATGATTTGTCGCCATTTTAAATGTAACTTCATAATGCCTCTCTCAAAGAAGTCCTACTCTCTATTTGCAAAAAAAACTCTAGTAGTCGATTTTAACAATTCTCCTTAGATGCCAATTTTTTATCATTAAAGACATTTTACAATGCAAGAAAAATATGATAATTGCTCCGGACTGTATGGCGGATGCATTAAAACTTCCCAACCAAACTCCCGAAGTTTCTGGTGAGTCACTGTAGATGTGTGTGGTCTAGCGTTGTCCTGATGGAACACGACATCTCCCCTGTTGGTCACTGTAGATGTGTGTGGCCTAGCGTTGTCCTGTTGGAACACGACATATCCCCTGTTGGCCAATTCTGGCCGTTTCTGGTCAATTATAAATGATTTAAAACAGTTTTATGGTAGATTTTTAGCTCCTGGGCGATGCAACGACTGCTAACATACCGCTCAACTTCGACCGTTTCTCCTATTTTATCGACATTTTCGACGACCGATCAATGGATTTCTTTTTCCCCAACCTAAAATTAGTCTTAGTCTCACCTTTTAATATGCCGATTTTCATATCTGGACTAGTCGATCTAGACATGTGTGTCCGTCCGTCCATTTACAGGTCAAAGTTATGGACCTATTGTCCCAAAATTGTGCATGTAGAGTTCTGGCCAAAGAAGTCGCCTATTGTTTTTGGTAATATTCGGTTAATATTTAGTGGATGAAATGGACAAAAATGTTTTTTGTCTGTTTTTTTTGCTCGCTCTGGAGGCCGCAAATATGACCCACACATCACGAAATTTTAAATAGCTCGACCATTTGATCATGACTTGTTTTTGGTAACGAAATATTACAATGAATATAGATACCTAGAAACATTGAACTCTCACTAGTTTTCTTTTTTTCATGGTCCTACATTCATTCTTCAACCGAATATAGCGTAATTTCGGACTACGATCTCTTTTTGGTTAAATAACCATATTAAGGTTCCGTATTATTTTTAGCATTCGATCAAAAGTTTCTGTATTTTGGTAGAGGTAAAATATCTGTTAACAGAAAATATTCAATGTAGGTCCATGTTTCAATCCCCAAAGGTCCTAGCCGGATTTTCTTTCTGATTTGGCTCAATTTTTCGTATATTGGTTTTTCAGAAAATAAAATAACATTTTTACACCTATATATACACACATATTGAGAATTTCGATTTTTCATGTTTTGTACGATAGTACGGAAGATACATTATTTTTGTCACATCATTTGTATTTCATTGAAATATTAATTTCCGACCCGATATGTATTTTTGATCAGGGTAAAGTTCAAAGACGATCTAGTCACATAGAAATTTTAGGCACACCTTTCAAAATCATTCACTGTAGTATAGTTCAATGTTATGTTAAAAACTTCATTTCAAATAATTGTCAACCTATGGTGGAGAGTCGAAAAAATTCATATATAGCGGAACTGGTAAATTTTTTGGATATGTTTCCAATGACAACATTATTTGGTAAATAGTTCCTTATATATTTCAAAATTTCCATATTTGAAATATTATTTCATTTTTATTCAAATTTTGTTCAAAAGTCGAATGTGTTTCTGTATGAAAATGTGTGTATTTATTCATGCCGCCATGAATAAATATATGTCGAGGTATTATTCTGTTATATGCAAATGAAACCAATTGCTCTCATAAATCTTTTAAATTCACTTGCTGAATTTCAAAATTTTTCAGAAACGTGGCCTTTATTAACAAAATAATGAAATTTCTAACGCGTTAAGATTGCTTAATAAACCATTTAGGAATCACTTATTATAAATATTGTAGGTTATTACAAATATACCAAATATACAATTATAAGGGTTTCATATGTGGTGGGTTCTAGATATAAAAAACAATTCTGTGCGATATTAACATACACCTTGTATATTATTGTGTTGAATTCTATCTGAGATTGTCTTCAAGGTATTTCATCATATCGACGCTTTCTAGGACGAATGTTAATAACTCTACACTTTATAACATCTTCATAATTACTCCTTCTCTTCCCATAGTCATATGACAGCAGCAGCAACGTACACAGGACTTCATCCCTTCAAAATCTGTTGCAAACATAAATTTACTGTGAAAAAATTCATATGTACTTAATATTCAATGCATAACTGAAAGTCGTTGTAAAACGTTGTCATAAACTTATATTGAAATATTTAATGACATACATATGTATGTATCTATGTCTATATAAATGATAATCATATACAATTTACACTTTATTACAAATGTTCATTTAATTCTCTTTGCTGGTTCCGATGATGATGTACGTATTACATACTTTATTGCCTTTTATCCTATCCGCACTATAGAACATATTTCTTGCCAATGATAATTATCTTCCACTTCTTGTGTTTGAATTCAAAAAATTTATTTGCAGAAATTATTGGCAGACTTTTTATGGCCACCTATAAGACAAAGTCGCTTACTTTCGCTTGGCCATGAATATTAATGCGGTTTAATGCAAACTCTTTGTACGTTTATAGAAGTTTAATTGTGCAGTTTGTTGGAAAGAGGTAATGTGAAAGATATTTTGTAGGACATTAAAGTTGGAAAAAAGGAATAAAACAAGTTGTAACGAAGTAATGTTGTTTATGAGTTATAGTCATAATAGGTATCTTAAGATGGAGAACTTTCGTTTATACTATATTGAAAGATTCAATCGATTTCATAAAGAAATTTTAATAATCGGTGCTGAATTCTGAAATACCTTGAAATGAGTTATCAAATTGTTTACGATTATGGACTCACAAAAAAAAAATACTTTTGTAGTTAGTCTAATTTTTATACTGAGTTTTTCTTTAGTTCTTCAAATATTGTAGTTTTCTTATAAACTTACCGTCCATCGAAATGTAAATGGCAGTATCATGGCACCTCTGACCGGATCACTTAGCACAAAACTGGAACCACCCAATATCCCCGTTGTTGTATTGCCAAATGAACATCCCGTTGATATACTGGATGTACCCTGTTCAGCTGCTGAATATTCTTTAAGGCACAAACGAAATGCTGTTGAACAAGGCGGACAACCTGAAAAAATAAATAATATTATTGCTTGAAACATATACTTATTTTTTGACAGAATGATAAATTAATAATAACCAGTAAGGAAAGTTCAAAAGTCGGACGGGGCCGACTATATGATACCCTTCACCACTATGGGTACATGCAAGACATGTTAATATCTACAATATCCTGTAGATATAGACATTTCGCATACAGTCGGGACCTAATTCAGTACTCTGTGCAAAATTTTGCTTCAATCGGACCAATATTGGGAGTTTGGTGCACAATTTACCTTAAATCGGACGAAACTATATATGGGAGCTATATCTAAATATGAACCGATTTTAACAAAACTTCGCATTCATCAATGACCTAATTTAGTACGCGGTGCAAAATTTTGTCTCAATCGGATAAATATTGGCAGTATGTTGCTCCATTTACATAAAATCGGACAAAACTATATATAGCATATTTAGATATAAATCTGAACCGATTCCAACAAAATTTCTCATACATCAGTCGGGACCTAATTCAGTACTCTGTGCAAAATATTGCTTTAGTCGGACCACTATTGGGAGTTTGGTGCACTATTTACATGAAATCGGACGAAACTATGCCAAATTTCATACAAATCGGATCATAAATGCGATCTGTACTTTGTTAACAAAAATACATGGACGGACGGACGGACATACATATATCGACTCAGAAAGTGATTCTATGCATGTTCACAAAAGGAACCATGGGTCTATCTCGATTATTTTTGCCTGTTACATACATATGCACAACGACGCAATACCCTGTACCACAGTGCGGTGAAGGGTATAAAAAGGTGGTTATAAGGGGACCACCCCTAAAAAGAGGCGAATATTAGTAATTTTTAGGAGGGAGGTTTGTTACCATATACGACTACAAAAAACCAAATTACAAAGAATTTGGTTGAAAAACGCGTTCAAGAACCCCAAAATACCAAAAATTTGGGAGTACCGTTATATGGGGACTACCAGAAAAACTGGAACTATATTTATAATTTTTAGTGGAATAATTTGGTACACAATAAGAACCGAATGTACAAAATTTCAGAGAATTCAGTTATAAAACGAGCCCAAGAACCCCAAAATACCGAAAACTGGGGGTACCTTTATATAAGGGCTACCCGAAAAAATGGACCTATATTTATTATTTTTTGTGGGGACATTTAGTACCCAATAAGAACCCAATGTACCAAATTTCAGCGTATTCGGTTTAAAAACGCGCTCAAGAACCCCAAAATACCGAAAATTGGGGGGTACCCTTATATGGGAGCTATGCCTAAACGTAGACCGATTTTCTCCAATATAGGGTTCGTCCTTGGGCCAATTAAGTGACCTGTGCCAAATTTCATCCAGATCGGATCATAAATGCGACCTGTACTTTGTTAACAAAAATACATGGACGGACGGACGGACATGCATAAATCGACTCAGAAAGTGATTCTATGCATATTCTCAAAAGGAACCATGGGTCTATCTCGATTATTTTTGCCTGTTACAAACATATGCACAAAGACATAATACCCTGTACCACAGTGTGGTGAAGGGTATAAAAATGTTTGCCGGTTTTTTATTATTTATAGAGAAACTAGCGAAGTGCCCACTACTTCGTATGCGGAAGGGGATTACAAAACAAATAAATAATATTATATTTTATATGAAAATAGTTAATACTTTTATATGGAAACCATTATGCACATTCAAAAGATTTTTTAGCAAATGCCAACCTATGTACACATTTTCAAGACTACATCGATATATCAATTTCACTAAATTTAGTACTTTTATTCATAAGTACAAATTTCCAAAACTACCTCAATCCTACACTGCAACAGTAATATTTATTCCAAAATTCAGGAATTCAGTTCTATCAGTTCAGACAAAATCAAATTTTACTAAATTTAGTACCGTTGGCCGTACCGTAGTACCGTTTATAAATAAGAATTTCACCAAATCCCAAATTGTACCAGATTTTATACCACTCAGTAATTTTCGTACCCATATTACAAAAGTATCTCAATCCTACACTCCGACAGTAATCTTATTATTCCAACTTTCAGGATTCCAGTTCCACTCGTTCACCGAAGTCCAAATTGTACTAAATGTAATACTGCTTCATGCCCATAAGTACGAATTTCCAAAACTATCTCAGCCATGCACTCAAATAATAATCTTAACACCTGATTTACACCTCAAATTTTTTCGTAGACGTAAATACGATTTTTCAAAACTTCCTCAATTATACACTTCAACAGTAGTTTAAACTATAAATTCAGGGATCCCAGCCCTATCCGTTCACACAGATCCAAATTGTACCATATCTAGTACTTTTCGTACTTATGAGTTCGAGTTTCCAACAGTCTTGAGACAGTCTCAATCCTGTACTGTACAGTATATTATGTATTTGTGTATATGTTTGTAACAGGTAAAAAGAAACGAGATAGACATATGGTTCCTTTTGAGAATATGCATAGAATCACTTTCTGAGTAGATTTATGCATGTCCGTCTGTCCGTGTGTAGATGTTGAACTGTTAACGAAGTACAGGTCACATTTATAATCGGATTTGGATGAAATTTGGCACAGCTCACTTATTTGGCCCAAGGACGAACCCTATTGAAATTGAAGGAAATCGGTTAAGATTTAGATATAGCTCCCGTATATAGTAAAAGGTAAAAGGGACACCAACGTCCCTATATATATTTTAATTTACATGAAATTTGGCATAGAATTAGGTCCAGAATGATGTGTGCTAAGTTTCGAGAAAATCGGTTCAGATTTAGATAGAGCTCCCATATATAGTTTTATCCGATTTTATGTAAATGGTGCACCACATGGTACATTGTACTAAATTAGGTCTAGCATGATGTGTGTCAAGTTTCGTAAAAATCGTTTCAGATTTAGATATATCTAGCATATATTTTCGTCCGATTTAATGTAAATGGTGTACCAATGTCCCTATATATCTTTCGATTTTCACGAAATTTGGCATTGCGTGCTGAATTAGGCCTAGAATGATGTGTGTTAAGTTTCCTAAAAATCGGCTCAGATTTAGCGTCATAGGGTCCTAAATTAGGTAATAAAAAAAGCGGTGACAAAGGAACTAGTTCCTTAATATACTTTGCTCCATATAATTTTGACTCCTATATAGTTCCTTAGAATCTCTCTATTTCACCGTTCTTTAGGTTTTTCTCTCACAAATATCCTACCGTTCCACTATGGGAATAGTTCCAATGAATATCAACACATGAAGATATCCCAAAATAGGATTTGCTAGAGATAATGCCGACCATAGGAATACGGCAACAATTAATACGCAAGGACAACAACCACCGCGCAAAACTCAAGCACGTGTTGTTTCTAGACAACAATAGATGGTATCCCTATATTTTTGCCTAAAATGCATGACATGTGGTTTCAATAAGACGGAACGGAGAGTTTCAGTAAGATGGGGAGAGTATGAAAAAATTGGACTAAGCGTCTATCCGCTTAAATTATATGGAAAAATATTAAATTATATGGACCATACTATCGATTAAAATAAAAATTTCATGACCTTTTCTGAATTTTATGTGCTTTTGTTTATCGAAAATCTTTCCTACTGCTTTTAAATACAACCTTTAGCTAGATCGATTCGTCTATTTTATAATTTAATATAATATTGAAAATGATTAAAATAAACTTACCTGTTGTTTTTGTACTTCTTATTTCTAAAGGAACACCACAGCAATAACCCGATAATAAATGGTTATTTGTATTTGAAATTTCTAATATTTCTAATTCGAAGTTACCAATGGCTGTTATCTGAAAAAGAAGAAAATTAAAAATAATTATAATTTCAGGAAATAAAAATATTTAAAAAATAATTCTTAAACGATATAATTAAGAAAATGTTCAAGTGACGCCACACATTGTCATATTAACTAGCAAGAATCATGTGAGCTCACATAAGTATGCGGTTATGTACATATGTATGTTCATAATGATCTGAACAGGTTCTTCTTATAACAGAAATATGACAACAATCCTTTTTGACTTACTTATCGTTTGCACCTTATCCTCTGAGAACTGTCAGGGTTATGAGATAAATTACATAGTGTCCATTTGTGACAGACAATCAGACACTGACAACTATTATGCAGGTATGTATGAATGTATGTATGTATAGAGGGGAGAACATGCACAACATGTTACATGGTTGCTTTCATTAATAAAACTTAAGCATAACTTTGTTAAGAGGAATTACAACAAGTCTAACTGACAATCTCCCAACATACCAATGGACTGGTGGACAGGTAGTGAGGATTTCAGCTGTGATGTAGTGCTAAGGGATGATGTCTGAAGTTATAAGGAATTTTAATAATTCCTCAGAAAAAATCCATATGTATAAATAAAACTTCTGTTTTTTCTTTGCATTCACAATGGCATTGTTTAAATTGTACAAATGTCAAAAAATTTTTACTAGGTTTGTTTTAATATTTTTCGACATAGTTCGCCGTTGAAGTTCAGTGATAAGAAGTTGACTAACTAAACCGATATGTCGCTATAAACTATTTCGACTTTCATTTCGGCCATGGTCAAGAAAGCATGTCTAGGGACATATGGAAGATACCCCCAATGGCAGACGTCGCTGATACAGTAATCAAAGTCTCACCTTGAAAAAAATGTCCGTCAGATATGGAGAAGACGGATGCACACTGTAGAAAGCTGGAAACTTCCTTGTTTCTGTCGTCATAAACTAATAAGTTAGAGTGGGTGCTCCGAAGGAATTTTGGAAATCTCACTGTCGACTGCAGCATTCAAAAGTGTTAAACTTTTATTGCATGACTTTTCTTTTTGGCTGTAAAAACTCAAAGTGATAGATATCGGGTAGGAAAAATATTAAAAATTACAAATAAATTAAAAAAAGGCGAAAGTGCCTTTAATCGCATTTTCCACTACAAACATTCGCCAAAATTTACCGTTAGTTACGTTTATAATGTTTTGCACCTAAGTGATTTTTATGTAAGTCTTATCGAGGCTCGGTCAGCCTAAAGTTAATATTTATTTCCTCAGCCTAATGAGGGTATATACAATTTCATACGGCAATAATGCGGCTCATCAAAATATTGGTTTTAGACTTCATTTGGAGTCCATTTATAAATATTCGCCCGTCTGTCTATTTGGCCAGTTGGTGCGAACGATTACTCTAGAAGGGACTAATCGATTCCATCCAAAAATCGTAATATTTCTCCCAAACTTAGTTCAAGTAGTATGATGGGGAATATCAGTCCACTCCTTCTGGTACCTCCCCCACAAAATGGTCAAAATTGTACCAAAAAAAAAAATAATATATATATATATATATATATATAATATAATATAATATATAATATAATATAATATAATATAATATAATATAATATAATATAATATAATATAATATAATATAATATAATATAATATAATATAATATAATATAATATAATATAATATAATATAATATAATATAATATAATATAATATAATATAATATAATATAATATAATATAATATAATATAATATAATATAATATAATATAATAAACCCCTTTCTTAAATCCAATCCAGGCGATTAGAATGTCCGATTTGAACAAAATTTTGTGAAAGCATTTATCATTACCAAGCATGGATCAAGTTGGCAACCGAAGTTAGGACCCGTCGTCCCCCTCCACTTTTAATTTGAATCGAATCCATCTGGTCCTCCCCCACAAAGTTTCAATATTTTATAAACTTTTAATTTGAATCGTATTGAATAACCGATTCGATCAACATTAAATTCGAAACCTCTTTGATAAAAACATATAAAGCGAACAATAAAAATGTGTGTAGTTCCGAAGGACTCATAGGCTAAGGGTATATATCTATAATATCCCAACAAGGTCAATCGGGACCTGTGATTATTTCATCAAGGTGGTGGCTAAGGATACCAAACTGTACAGAAAAAAAAAACATTTTAGTAAGAAGACAGGAAAGGATTTCGCAGCAACCGCGGTGACAGTTACAAAAGAAACCAAATCCTGCTTAAAGTCTTTGGCAATGAGGATGAGGTCAACAGAGGAACAGCAAAATTCATTGTTCCAGACACCTATGGATCGGTGGAGGCTAAGAAGAGCAGTGAGAAGACAAGAAAGTCGAACGAGTGGCAAGTCTTCACAGGAACCTTTAAAGAAAACACCAACACTTGTAGAGCCGACAACTTGAAAAAGGCTCACATGTCACACGAAGAGTCCTCACAGACATGGCTTAATCCGACGAACAGATAAGTGAGATTCATTGCTTGCTGCTCGATCGGCATCTAAATAGACCATAATCGGTTGTATTTTGGTATTAGGGAACCCCACTGGGAGGGATATAATCAAGTAGGTGTACATGTTGGTGAAATCCCCTATAAGAAGCCGGAATGTTAAATTAAGGTCACTTCGGATGAGTACCGTTATATAAATCGAAACATTTCTGCGAAGAATGCCTTGAACCATCAATATAATTGACGTTGGGTGGAATCTGTATATGAAATCAATAAAAAAAACATATTTTCTTCTTTGAAGTGTTTATATACAACTTATAAACCAGAATGTCAAATTCTTCTTGGTTCGGAAGTGCGCTTAGGATTATCAACGTACTAGCATTTTAGCGGGACATGTATGAGAGACCAATAATGAAAATGTTCTTTGTGGAAGTCTCTTCGATTTTAAAATATGCCTAGGCCATAAATATACCTTTTATTGGGCTGGGTCCTTCTAGAACCTGGAATGCCAAATTACAGCCACTGAATTGGGAAAATCCGACTAAAATCTTACCAACAGTTGGCGGTGGCTAAATCAAAACATGAACATATGTCGCCAATTTTTGCAAATTTACCATCAAAGAACCGGAATGCCAAATTTCAGCCTATTGCATCAAAATACCATGAAATTAAACTATACCAAAACGGGACCAATATTTTTTGTAGGAAGAGTTGATACCCAATGGAAACCCAAATGTTACATTTATGCTGATTCGGTTAAAAAATTTGGCCAAAGTTCCCAAAATACAAATAATCCTTTATATGGGATGTACCACGAAACAAGGACTAATATTGATCATTTCTGGTAGGGAGTTTTCTTTCCCGGTAAGAATCAAATTAAAAAAAATGCAAGTTAACTAATGTCCGCCAAAAAACAGTCCACAATATCTACCAGAGTCTCTATTTCAAAATTTAGAATTCGGAATGACGAACTTAATATACAGTCAAAATCGTTTAAAACGACGTATCGGTTATAACGACTTATCCAAAAGTCCCGGGAAACGTTCTGCCTTTTATAACTACAATTTCGAAGGTCCCTTGACCGGTACAAGCGATTTCGACTGCACATTCCACATAATGATCGAGGCTATACAAATCATATTTATTAGCACAATTTGTTAAGGACAACATATTTCACTCCCTCCCTATTTTTTACGATCATTGATTATAATTTGTCTATGGTCAACATGGCTTGAAACGAAAAAGTAATACAATCAGGAAAAAACAAGTCATTGCTTTTTTGGATCAATCAGTTAAAGTAGTATTTTTGAAACCGGAATTATGTGTGTGTGTTTGTGCCAAAGAAGATTACATTGGGAACAGAAAACATGTTGATGATGATGACGATCACAGGTGTGGATCTGGGAACGAATACACATACAGTGATATAAAGATTTTCCTTCTTTTTTTCCATATATGTGTACACATTAAATGGTCATTGCGAAAAAAGCAAAACGAACAACAACAAACCCCACAATAAAAACCAGAATAAAAACAAAGCGCAAAAAAGAAAACTCAAAACAAAACCAAAACTGATAATGAAAAGCCATGCAGCTAGGAGAAGACGATTGTAGCCGGGGAGGAGAAGAAGATCGAAACAGAAATATTTTACAGCAGTTACTAAAAAACAAACGAAAGAACGAATGAACATCGAACCAAACAAAGAATGTCATGACATTAACCGACATTGATCAATCCTCACGGAAAGCAAAAGGCGATTATACGCCACTCATTGCTATTTGTTTTTTTCTTCTTCTTCTTCTCAAATATTAGCTCAGTCTTCTGTCCGATGGACTTTGAGAATGTGCATCAGCAGGATGAGAATGTTGGGCTGATGTGTTTCTCGATGGATGGCTGAGTGGATGTGAATGAAACACACAACACTCACAGCCGTTGCGGGGAAACTGCAACAGCAACACGTATGTGTGGCAATGGCAGTTTATTGAGCCGCTGTGATATCCATGGCAATGCTGTGGCCATCGTCGTCGACGTCGTTTTCATCGTCATCGTTCTTGTCAAAAGACTAATGCAACAGAAGTCCACTGAATTGACAGTTGTGTTTATTTTGATGGGACTCTTTGGTGAAGATGTAACCCAATGGGCCACAACGACTTTGGAGAAGTGCTATATGGGGTTTCAGTACCATTTTTCAGAGGGGAGGTGGAAATATTTGCTGTCTGAAGGATATACTAATATCAACGGCGACATCATGCAAACGAGAAAATCATTCCTCAACCCACACACCTAAAACCTGATCACCAGCTGATCACCAAAACTTGAAGATGTGACAATTCGACAAAAAGTCCCAGATGATGAAAGGACTAAACTCAACGGACAAATCAGTCCGAGTCATTGGTTGCTAAATAACCGGCATGTAAAGATCATTTTCCTAACAGACCATCAACGGCTGATTTTTGCCTTAATAAAAAAAAGTGAGCATATTTCTTGAAAGTAAATGTAATTCTCTTTAATGCCTTGGGAACTAGACAGCCTTTAAGGT